ATCAAATTACAGAGCTGAGAAAACATTCCCAAATAAAATTGTAATTAATTAGATCATAAAGCTGAGAAAATATTTGCTTCAGAAGCTGCTTTAAGCAGTCAGTTTTTCTTTTTCCAGGCTGATTTTGGCATGCATGGGAGAGAGCAGTTGTTTTGCTTCAAGAGTGCGGTTAAGCCACAAGATTTCCAAGGTTGCAGAAAAACAACTCATCATCCAGCTTCATCAAACACACTACATCTTGCTTTCCTTCCAGCGTAAGCCACTAAGAGCATACGTCTTTCACAATTCAGTTGCTTTATGTCCAAACTTCCTTCTCTTCTCCCTTCAATGCAGTTAAATAACACTACTTTCTGGAAACAAATTCAGACATTACATATTTCAAACATATTGTTTTAGAGATACTAACTGCAACTTTGTCATTAAGCCACTAGTTTCATATCAATAGTAATAAACAAATGTGCACCCTGGGCACTCCTAAAGTTCAAATTATTTAAATATAAAAACCATAAAAGTAGCTTCAAGAAAAATGTCAGCTATTTTGAAAGAACTTCATCATTTGTTCCTCTGATAATCCAGATATATTTTTTCATTTTACATGAGCATGTCTTTGAAGCTTTAGGAAAGCTTTTTGTTATAGTGACAGCAATTTGAGACTTGTAACAGTGATGGAATACTTCTTGAAGAGAAAACAGAGAACCAAGGAGAGAAAGGGATGGTCCAGTGTTCTGAAAAGGAATCTCAGTTACCCAGTGCCTTAGCAAGGGTCATCTTAGTAAAAATAACAAAAAACTCTCTCACCACACACGTTTGAAGGCAACTACACGAAAGAAAGAAGAACAAACCATAGGATAAAAATGGTACAAGATGATAACTGTAGCTGATTTCATGTTAAAAAAAGAACAACAAAAAAAACCAATCCCCAAAACCAAACAAAAATAAATCCCAGGTTTTGGCAGAGTTCTTTTAATGCTTGGAAGAGATGTGTCATTAATCCCCTTTCCTTGACTGAACCTTCAGCCTTTCTCATTCAACTTGTTGGCATCTTGCAGGGTGAAATATGATAGGCAGATTTTTCCCCCTCTTCCCATTGAAACAAGGTGAACTTGAAGCTTAATGGCGTCTGTTGACACCTGATCACAAAATCCTCCTGCTACCTGAGGGAAAGGAGGATATCCAAGTACAAGAATGGGAAGAAATTAAGTGTCTGTGAAGCTGCCATAATCTGTTAGAAGAATCACCACTCCAACATCTGCTGTGACCCTCCACATCATCCAAGGAATGGCTAGTGCACTAGTTATCCTAATCCTACTAGTTGTCTTGGTCCATCTCTCACTAAAATTCATTCATGCTCAGAACACCTATTTACTATGAAGAAAGGGTAAGAAGAAAATAATGGGACATGCAAAGATAGAGGTAAGGTTTCAGGAGGAGTCAAGCAGCAGGAACACAGGACAGTACTCATACAGAGCTCTGTCAAAGCAGCAAATGGGAAGAGGAATACACGAACAGAAGGGGAAGTCCTGTGTAGCTAAAACAGACATAAGGGAAAAGAAAGCATATAAAGACCCACTGAACAAAAGGGAAAATAAAAATACTGAGACTGCAGAAATAAGAGAGATGAGAAGAATCATGAGACATTTGTGGAGGAAGTGGAAAGACACAGGCAGCATTAAAATGCACCAAGGATGGCCCTCAAATGCAGCAGTTACTAGTCCTGAAAAATATTCTTCATTCTATTTATGCTTTTTAAAATCTCTCACTCACGATTTAAGTAACTACAACCACCTTCATCTTTTCACTTTCTCTGCAGAGTATGCTAGGTTATACATGGATGGAAATGCTGCATGAGCTTCATCTTTCAGCAAACAAAAAGCAGACCATAATTTGTCAAAACATTTTAAGTAAGCATATTTTTAAGTGTAGGATTGGACCAGTATGTCCATAACACTTAAGAGGAATTATTTCTGATACTGACTCAGAGACACTTTTTAATATCAGACTACTTCGTGCAAGAAATCACAAATCTGTTTCTAATATAAACAGATCTTGAGCTGCCTGTCCCACCTAGAAGCTTCTGAGTCTGTGTACAAATTTGTTCCCTTTTATCAAAATGCAGTTGAGGACCAGAGATAATGAAGCTCATACAAGTTTCATGTAAACCAGTAGCAAGATTAATGCAAGACAAACACAAGTCAGTGCCACTATTAAAGGCAGAAACTGCATCACAGGATGGGCTGCCAGCAACCATTGAGCTGTGTTGTCCTAGCTTCAGCCAGTGGTCAGCCCTCCTCCTTCCCCCTGTACCACATATGACATCAAAGTACATCTTGGCACAGAGGACACAAGTCATAGCAGGGAGAAGTCAGGCTTCTCTGGCTTTGCTACTTACAATTTGTTGAGTATTTACATGCTATGGCATGGATCAGTTTAGCAGCATTGTCTTGTGGCTAACCCTCAATATTTTATGGAGCTGGCAAACAGCCTACACTGTGACAACAAAGGCAGCTGTGATTAAGTGATAATAGCAACATAATGTGATAAACAAAAGCTCTGAACAAAACCTTATTCATACACCAGGCAAACTACAGACCTTTACAAACTCTAAAACACGTGCTCTGATCCACTGCCTCCTATAACTGTTCAGTAATCTTCACTGTGATGCTTTCAAAGTAAAACTTACAAGGAAAGCAGTGACCACAAGCCACAGTAATATATACAACGCACACCTTTAAATACATGAAATATCAGCAGCAGTTCATACTTACAATTGATAAAGAATGGTCGTTTTTCCTGCATTATCCAGACCAACAATGATTACTTTGTGCTCTGAAATAAAAATATCACCAGTAAGTCACATAGTTAACTTTGCTACCACAATAACAACTATGCCATGAAACAAAGTTAGTGTTGCATTTGAGACTGATTTCCTAAGCAAACACTGCCAAACTTCAGGTGCCACATTTCACAGGCCATATGTAAGAGTTTATTTGTGGAGGCGTACAAACCCATGTACTGTTCCGAGCAATTAAGTGATTGTCAAATTTTCCACATCTGAGTATCTACAGGCACAATTTCTGATTGTGGATTTTTTTCCTCCTCTAACATGCTAGGGCAATCTCACTTTAGAATCCTTTCCCAATCTTCTACACATTTGTGCAGACTCCCCCAACCACAGCAGCTCTTCAGAACACATCCTTACCAGGACAACATGTTAAATGTTAAATTTCATGTTAAAACTGTAACATGTTAAATGTAAAATGTAACATGTTAAACGTTCATTTCCAAGTCTAGACCTTTATTATGGCCTGCAACATCTTAATCTCTTTGCAAAGAGTTGCTTAAAACCACAGCAACATCGATTTACACTGTAAGCGTTCGTGTCCTCTTCTAGCAGGTTTGGAACCTGGAGAACAGATTTGCCTACAAATACTTTACAGTATGCATCCACACAATTTAGTTTTAGATGAACCAACAAGTACAACACAAAACTACTCTCACTTCTGCAGACACAGTTTGGAGCTCAGTGCTTGAATCAATTACTGCTTCTATTCAGCACCTTCTTTCCTATACATCACAAAACTAAATTTGATTTTTACAGCTGGGTGTTATCAAGCACGAATTTACGATATCCAGGACAATTGAGCACTGCCAGCCCTCAGCCGTATTATACAACCTTTACTTGCACAAATAACCTTGGCTTCAACTGGACAGAATGCAAGGAAAAGTTTTGTGAGAAGCTGGTTTTTTTCCTACCTCCCCAGTGGTCCACAAGGGCAACAAAAAACTCATTACAAATGTGCCCAAGCTTCGGGCAAACAAGGAAGAATTCCTTCTGTTAGCAAAGTACACTCACACTGACTCATCACGGAGGGAGGGGATAAGGGTCAGGTAAGTGGGGTTTTCTCAGTTTTTATTTTATCAATATTGTGTGGTTTTGCAGAGTTGTCTTATACACTGTCAGTAAAAACTCCAGTTTTAATAACTTTGCATAACTGCACAATATTGTAAAAATATCTGCTTACCTGACCCCACATAACTAGGAACTTTTGTTTCTGGTGTGATGTTGCCAGCATAGTGGACGTTAGGAAATCGGTGGAAAAGAAGATCTGAGGTGGGGCTGGATGCTACAAGACAAAAATACTGTTTTGTATTTGCACTAGGTGTCAATGGGCACATAACTGGGACATTCAACATTCATGTGCACAGCATTTAAATTCACTCATAAACAAATTCAAAAGACCTTATCAACGGGAGTAAGAGCGTCAGCAATATGTTCTACAGTCAGTTACAACTCTCATTAGAACCTAACTGTAAGGCGACAAGCATTACAAATCTGAAGTTATAAATAACATTTACTCCATAAATGAGCAATTTTGCCAGCTATCGAGGTTTGTAACTTAAAAGTGTTAGTAAAGCGTACTCTGCAGACGACAAGATGGAACTACACACTACAATGCAACACAGCTGTATTCTATTCGGCTCACATTAATAATTTAACGTCCACCTTTCAGGAAATGAGCTTTGCATTGACTTAGAAAGGACAGAAAGGTTAACCCCCCCCCAACTCTTCTGGCTTCATCTCGTCCGCCAGCCACAACGACCAGTGCCAGAGAAACGCCGTCAGCTCGCCCTTTAACCTCGGTACCCAAAGTTGCGCCAGTTTACTGAGGCGGGCTCCCCCCACCCCCTATTCCCCACCGCAGCCTCCTCGTCCCCTCCCGCCGCCCCACAGCGGGTGCACAGGCAGCGAGGATCTGCCGCGAGCGGGCCCGGCCCGGCACCTGCGCGCCCCGACACGTCCGCGGGCCGCCGCCTCGCCCTCACCCTGATGGTTGAACAGCCTCCAGATCCTGGTGAAGAGAATCCCCATCCTCAGCCGGGGCAGCTCCGGGCCTCGCCGGCTCCTCAGCACCTACCGCGGGCTTACCCCGCTCCCGGGCCGCGGGCGGCTCAGGGCCCGGCCCAGAGCCCAGTTTGCCGGCGGAAAGGCGGGCTAGGGCCTCGCCGGGCCTGCTCACTCTCGGACATCGCCGCCGCCCCGCTCCTCTCGCCTCACCGCCTGTCCGGGCCGGCCGCGGAGCGGTGAGAGCGACGCGACACGACGCACAGCCACCAGGGACCCTGCGGCCACCGTAGGGACGGAGGAGGCGGGGGCGGGCGCGTCGCTGCGACGTGACGTAGCGGGGGCGGAGCAACTGCGCAGGCCGCCATTACGTGACTCCGCCTTAGCGGTGTGTAGTGAGGGCTGGGCTGTGTGTGACGGGGTTGGTGCTCAGTAGCGGCGGGAGCGCAGAGTTGGCGTCGCTGCTTACGGTCTTTCAAAGCATCCGGCCCATCTCAGAGATAAACCCCTGTGTCCAGACCTGCCGCAGCGTTTAAAGCCGCAGGGATGGTGGTGCGCTTGGTTGTGCTGGGGTTTACAGTTGGACATCTTAAAGGGCTTTTCCAACCTAATCGATTTTATGATTTTTTTCTCTAACCCTTTCATAAATAGGTTTTTAGTGCCTGCACGTGATATGCTAGAGACAAGACATGGGGTGATTGCTGCAATTTAATTTTATCCTTGACCAGAACAATGCTTTTAACAGGAGCACCATGGTGTTACACTCGTGTAAAGCTGTCCTGTAGCCCGTTCATTTCAGCCCCAAGGTCTTCATTAGCTGCTGTACAAACAATTGTACGTGGGTCAGTCATGTTTGTCTTGTGACACCAGTGGTGGGTGTGAATTTGAACAACAGGTATTTCTAGCACTAGTATTCATGCTCCAGGGAGCCAAGGGTAGGCTGTACAGCTGTTGGGCACATCTTCATTTTAAACAACACTGACGGGCATGGTAAGGAGAAGCCAGGCCTGCACTTACATGAAAGAGCAAATACAACTTTGGGAGATAATGTGGAAGAGTGAAACTGGCGGAAAGCCTGTTTTTATGTTCAAAAGGCATGTTCTGAAGATCAGGGTTTGGAGGCTTTGCTTATCACCACAGCAATCACATGCAGTTCTTTGTTGATAGCCAAGTGGCAACTGGGCTAGCCTTGGAGTTGTGCTCTGTCCCTAGCTGGGATGGAGAAGCCTCCATCTCAACATGGGGAAGCTCGTTTTGGGATGGAATGTGTTACTTGGTACAGAGAAGCTCCTTGCCTAAAGTCCTCTGAGCATGCTTGTGTTCCTCATAATGATGAGTGTTCTGTAACATAACTTCCCATCGTTGCTAGTACATGTTAATGGCTTTGGTCTTCATTACGTACTGCCATCTCACCTGCACCACAGCCTACCTTTTCCTGTCCACAGAGGCCCTTACCACTGGCTGTTTTTTCCCCTGCTCCTTTGCAAGCTGACACAATTCTGCCCTCAGTTCTATCTCCACCTTCCTTACTGGCTACCTGGTATGCTGCTTTCACCTTCTCACATGGCTTCTGCCCCACCTCTGATATGATTTAACTTTCTAATTTCAGAGTTTTTTGCTTCTTTCCTTCTACCAGCTTTTATTCTGATTGTGCCTTCTTGCTTTTATTTTCCCTGCTGCAATACTGGCCTATACTCAAAGTAGCAAGGCCAGTAGTAATCTGAGTTTCTGTCTGTGCCTGCAAGCTTTAATGCTTTCTGTGGCAGTGAAAGGGAATATATGATCCATAACAGTTGAAAAATATCCTGATAACAAACTGGCATGTTACGCCTTTAACAGGATAAAAATAAATAATGCAGTGCACTAGTAATGGATCTGTAGTCATCCAGGTTTAAAATAACTAGATATAATGTATTATTGTCCATGGTGCTTATGCTTTACACCTTTTTCAGCATTGCCAACAGTGATGCAGTATCAGCTACCTAATGTGACAGGGAAAGCATGGTTAGCCCAGACACCCCCTGGTTCCTCTGAAACCACTGTTTGCTGAACAGCCACCAACAGTCTGTGAAAAAAAACAGCATCTTGCACGATACAAAGGCTCTTTGCCCTGTATGGTTTGGGGCTGCTGTTTTAGAACTACATTGCTAATTTTTAACCTCAAACATGACAATCACAATGAGGTTGAAAAAGTAGCAACGCTTTATCCTGTGTAAGTGCAATGCATAAATACCCTGCCATATTGTTCAGCTGCTGGAATTACCAAGATTTGTTTATTCATTCCTCTTAGTAAAAGCAAGGATGTCTGCTGGCTTGGTGCAGTGGCTCTGGAGAAGCTGATGGGGGAAGGCAAAAAGGAAATCAAGGTATATAGCAGGAACTGTCCCTCTTGTGTGAGAGCTGCAGTCAGAGGGATGGTGTGTGACTGACAGGTAAATGAAGCAGCTCCTCCAATGTGATACTTTCCCCAGGTTCAGCATTCAGCCTGCAACAGAATTAATTATTCATAAGCTGACAATTATCCTCCTTTCTGCTGTACCTCAGCTGAGAATTTCAGATGCATTTGATTCATTTCTGTTCTCAGTTCTCCTGTTGTAAACACGGAGTGAGCCTGAAATCCATGGGTTCATTCCAGGACTAGGCAGGCTGCACAAATACATGAGAAGGTAGCAAAATTCAGTTAAACCATTTACTTTGATTCTTCAAATAGAAGAGCTTCAAGGGTTTTTTTTTCTCCATGTAGTTTTACTTTGTTTTGTTAAACCTTGTGTCTTACCAAAGCAACTTCAAAGAGTCTGCTGCCAGCACTTGCTGGAGTTACATCAGACTGTATAGGACAGGACATTGACTGCAGCCAGCACCCCTTGGTCCTGCCTTGTAACATCCCATGTAAGGACTACAACCAGCTTGCCTGCACACAACAGCTGCAAAACAGTGATGTTTTTACAAAATGAATGAATGTATAGTGTATTTTAGGGCTAGGAAGCTATTGTTAGGATTTTACCTCTGTTAAATTATCAGTTAGGACATCTGTATGGCAGCCTAGTTTATCCTGTATTGTACTGCTGGTTTTCCACATGCTAACACAAATGTTGGGCTTCCCATTGCTGGCAGCAGCTTTCTAAGAAAGCACTTAAATCAGCATGGCTCATTGTGAATACAGTCACAGTTTCTTCCTGGAGTTCTGAAAAGCCTTTTTAAGGTCATGTACATTTTGTTTCAATGCTCAGTGGGTCATCTGAGCATTTCTACACTGCAGAAGCGCATTGTCTGCCTACAGCAGACTTTCACCAATGGAGAGGAAAATACTTCTATATGGAAGAAACTAGAACATGTGGAGAAGACAATGAACTTCTAACTTCCTGGATCATATGAAAACACATAAAAGAATACATTTATATGTACATGCTCAGTTATATTTATTTAGAAGACCTTAAGCTTTTTATTAACAGCTTAGATTACAACTTGCATGTTTATATCTGATTCTGAACACTTTAGACAAGATAATTCAATTAACAATTTTAAAAGCCCTGCTTCTGCATTAGATACGTAAAAGCCAATGTTAATTCACACATAACATGCACCTTACCTGGAAAAGTCTTTCTGTTCTTCGAAGGCAGGCTTCTGACAGAAATGCTGAGGCACAAGCACACCATGCCACTGGTTACTGCAGGCACTGCCAGGTCTGAACACCCTGATGGGTGACACATAGCTGAGCCCTGCCAGCGGCCACCACTGCTCTCCTCAGGGCAGTTGTACAGGGGAGCCTAGCAGTACAGCTGGGCACAGAGCCCTTACTGCTCTGCTGGGGCTCTGCACAGCTCTGGCCTGGTCTCATGCTGCCACACCGAGTTTATAAGCTCTGTATGTCCACATTTTGTTGGTGATAACAGCATTTCTCTTACGTCGCTGGCTCTTGTTATTCACCCTTTGGAAGCAGCATCATTTTTCAGTGCTTTCTGTTTTTCAAGCTATGATAAACAGCATTTAATTATTTTATTATTTTTTTAATAACCAGTCCTTAATACCTCACATCACTCTGCTCTTTGTTTCTGTCCAGGAACCCATTTTACATTAGTATGATCTCACGATCATACTGAGGACCAGACCCAAAGACCATTAAAGTTCATGAGAATCCTTCAACTGAGCAGTTGGCTGCAAATATTTTACTTCCTCATGAACAGTGAGATATTATATGTATTTATGTACTTTGGAGTTGCAGCTATTTAAGAGCAGATGGATTTAAAAATAAACATCATTCATTTCACAGACCAGATGCATCTCCTTCATCAGAATCTCATTAATTTTTACTAAAAATTCCATAACACGGGAAGCTGCTGCCAAAAGCTATCGGCAAACAAATCGGCCAAAAGCTATCGGCAATGCTGTGAATGGTTTCTCAAGTGATGGCTCTGAGCTTTTTCCAATCTTGAGTGCAGAATGCAAAGGCAGTTAAAAGACTTTTAAACGGTTTGTAGTTTTTTCATTTATTGTAGAAAAGTTATTGTAATGCAGTTCATTTTTGTACATCTAAATTCCATAAAACAAATCCATAGAAATGAGGATACTATCAGCATGCAGTCTGCATTGTCCTTTTAAAATGATTCTGATCACAAAAATAACACCACTTTTTTTTCTTCCTTTGAAAGCCACTAAAAGCAGAGGGAGAGCAGAGCATGCAACACTGTACACATTTGCATAGTATATTTTACCCAGCATGCCTTGTAGAATGCTACACATACAGTATCTATAGAAGGAAAACCAGAAAGGGGCAAATCAGCAGAAAACACACATTTGTGGGTATATCTTTAGTTTTGGTTGGGTTGGTTTTTTTTGTAAAGGCAGTATGCCTTTACCAGCGTGACTCTCAACTGGCTCGCAGTGAGGCTGGAGGTAACACCGCCAAGCTATCACTGGGAACCAGTTTGGGTGAGAAACTGAGATTTTCTGGGATCTGAGAAGCCCGAGGTCCATAGTTTGCAGTTTGAATGACCGCTTTCATCTTTCTTCGCCCCTCTATTTCTCATGTTTACATACAGTTTGCATTTTGCTTGATTCTCTTTCTATGCTTTTCCTGTACAATATCACTGACTTTCTCCGCATGAGAAGAGAAGCTGGTGTTTCCAATGCAAATACACCTTGGCCACACACACACGTTCCTTAAGCTTACTTTCCTCCCATTTTAAATTCCCAGCAGTATCAGTGCAAGGTTTTGGGTGTACTTGTCCACAGCTCTTGCAGTGTAACGTTCTTCTCTCCCGACCTCCCCACCTCCCCCATATATTAAACCAAGTAGCTGGGAGTTTTTACTGGGAGTATTTAACTCCTGACCTTGGGTTCCTAGTGTATTCATGGTGTATTCATCAGTCATATGCCAAAAATCTATACATTGGCCAAAATCAGAAGTTATTAATGCAATTTCAGCATTGAAGAGGAAATTAGCAAGAAATGCAGTGGACTTTCTAATTCAAAAGGTTTGGGTTTTTTTTTTTTTCCTTAATTAATATGGAAGGGTACAGTTATTGAAAAAAACAATCACATATGCATAAAATGCTGACGTATCAGACAGCAAGTTTAACTGATCAAAAATGCAATAAATCCACTGACGCAGGATCAAAAAGTCTACCCCTTTTTTCAAAAATACACCTCCAAATGCAACAGTGGAATTATTGTAAATTTGTGCTATTACAAATGTGCTTCTTTTTCCTTGCTCTGTTTGTACATCATTGGCAAAATATATTATTCTGTACTGTACACTAGATTTTCTCACTATATTGATTTTCTACTGCTTATACAGAGTAGAATGCATAAAAAAGGGGACTGTGGCGTTAAATTTAATTACATTTTGTTTTTCAGGAGATATTGATAAGGCATCAGATAATTAGTATGTGATATCTGTGGTCAGACCTTGCAAATAGTGACTCTCAAAGCAGACAGTTATAAACTGTGTCCAGTTGTAGGTGTCTGTAGGATCTAGTCCAGATAATAAATCACTGCCAAAAAATCTGAGGGGAAAAGGCAGGTCTAGTAAACCCCACAGAGACCAAGCCAGTGCTACTCCCAGTTTCACCATGTTCAAAGGAATAAAGGAATGACACACTCTTATTAACATTTTAAAATTACGTCTGCCTTCTCCCAAAATCGTCTCTATGGATTCAGTATTTCTCTTCTTAAATGCATTCCACAAATTTCAATACCAAGTAGCATTTTCAGCTCTTTCTCCAAGTTAGTTCCTTACATATATTTCACCACATTATTAAAATGTCCTTTTGTTTTTCTATGTAAAATAAACTGGATTGAATAACAACCTAACGAAGGTTATTCAAATGCTGACTCTTCAAATAGTACATTTGCTTTTGTCACTGTTTTAAAGATAGAGGGAACTTAATTTCCCTGGAGTTAAAATTGGCTATATTACAGTATCTTGCAGTCCTGTTACTCTTTGTAGAGCTATCTGAAGAGAGGCAACTGTAACAAAATACATGGTGGCAGAATCCTATGAATCCAAACTTGTATTAATACCAACTGCAGTAATATAACCCAGTTTTAAAATGCACATTTTTAGGAACAAAATCAGATTTGTATAAGTGGTATTTTACAAAACATGCATCTGATTTTTTAATATGTGGTCTCCAATTACTTGTGCTTTTAAAAAAAAAGTCAAGGTTAAGCTTCAGAAGCACTGAACCTGTAAAACAAAATATAGCAGAGGTCAGATTTAATACATTCTTAAAGAAAAAAGGATGAATGATAGCCCTAACTTACTCAAATCAGTATGCTATAAAGTAATAGTACTAGCAGTATTATTTTGAGAATGGCAGTGCCAATAGGGAGATGAGATTCTGGGATGTTTCAGAGAAGCCCGTGTCACTGATTCCAAACTGAATTCAGATTTTCAGTCAAACTGAACTTGGAGTTACAGGCCTGTGCACACCCAGAGGAATTACTGTCACCTTATTATTCCTACAGCTCACTTCCTCCTTTCTGCAATTTTCACTCTCTGAAGTATGTATTTAACATTTTAAAAGCAAGGAGCACGAAAGATTAATACACACATATATCCCCCCACCCCCACCCCCCCCGATATCAACTTCAGAAGCAGCTTTCAAACCTGGAGAAAACACAGTAAACCCTCTATTTGCAGCAAACCCAACACTGTGAGAGCCACCACTGGCAAGGCTGTGAGTCGTGCAGCCACATCCCCTCCCAGGCACATGGAATTTATCTGGGCCCATTGGAGTTAAGACAAAACCATACAGAATCAGAAGCAGGCTGAGGGAACAGCAATTGCTTCACAAACCAATCATGCTTATCAAGTCCAAAATCAGGGGTGCCACCTATTTTCATGGCAAGATGGTTTGTCAGGATAAAATCTCAGTCTGGGCCATACTATGCCATGAAGTCTTGAGCAGAGGGACTGACTTTTGTCAGACCAACCTGTGTACAAAATGATAGTCTGATTTGGCCCACTGTTCATAAACTTAAAATTGGATACAGAACAGCTTCAGTTACATTTCTTTAAGCCTAATTTCATAATCTACTCAGAAAACATAATCAGTTGCACGTTGCACATCCCATGGGACAAATGTTCATCTGTGGAACTAGCGAAAGAACCTGTATGTCTGTTAAATACAACGTGCCAAAGTACTTTAAATTAAAAGCTTATCTTTATACTTAAATTAAAAGCTTGTCTTTATAGTGGCTTCAGGATTTTAAAAACTTTTGTTAATTCTTTCACAAACATATGAATGCCCTGACATATACTGTCTTTAAGGTATCAAGATTGTTCTTACCACCTTTATTGGGTAAATTGTCATTAATGCAAAATCATCCTCATGAAAACTCAGATAACAACAACTTAAAAATGTTTTATCAGTATGTCTAAAATCCTCTGTATAAGCCAGAGCTTACGAACAGAACTCTGATCTTTAATAATATTATAATAACAAGAAGAAATGGTATGAGGACTGGAAAATTAGTCTTACTCGTGTTCATTCAGGAATACATGAACTTCACAATTGTATATAGCGCCATTGCAGAAGAAATCACAATACAGCTGGCTAGCACTGCTGAAGTTCTAATACAAATACTATGAGTTAACATGTCCTGATCAACGTTGCAGCTTTTACTGATTACCGCATTTCCTAAAAATAATTTACTTTTAAAAATAGAGTTCCCATAGCTTGTATCTAGAATAAATTAATGATCTATTAGCAAGTTCAGTATATTTGTACTTAAAGATACATCTGTCTTCAAAGAACAAAAACCAGCAAGCAAGGAAAACCTGCTGGATCACTGCTAACTGACTTCTTATATTAAAATGGAATGGGCAGTGGGAGAAGAGAGGGTAAACTAATTACACACAGCAGTAAACTTAAACTCACGCAGTAAAGGAATATGGTGTGTTCTTTCAAGACAATACATGACTTCCCTCACAAGCTTGTTTTGATTAGAACAAATGAAGTAGTTTTGGCACTTAAGATGCTGCAGGTGATGGAATTTGTGCATATGTGTTTTGTAGACCTCTCCCTTCACTAACATGACATGGAAGACTTAAAAACAAGGCTCCAAAAGGCTCTAGAAGTAAATGACATTTCTGTCTAGGAAATGATAAAGCAGTAACCTTGTTTACTAGAAAATATACGTAGGTGCTTCGCAGCTACCTGCCATTAAAATGCAAATATCTTCAAGCAGTTAAATGATCTGATCCCTAATGCTACTACAGAATAAACAGCTAATCTAGGTTTATACATCTCAGTGCATCCTTTGCAATTAATACTTTAATGCACACAAACAAGAAACTTATTAAAGCTTATAGTAAAAATGTTTTGCCTAATGCCTTCTTTCTCATGCAGGTACGTGTGCTGTACATGTAACAGAGATTTGTAGAAATTACTGGAAAATACTCCACTGTGCTATAGCAGAAAATATAAGAGAAGGCAGCTGAAGCCACCCTTCCCAGGCCAGATCTTGCCATGCTCTCTCAGCCTAAATGCCCTTTTGGAACCTGCAAGTACTTAGGCTGAGAAAATTATACAGGAACAGGCCTGTCACATCAATTCTTAACTCTGCTACTCCAGTGGATGCAGATATTTTCCTTTTTGATTTGGTAACTGGCTCGTTCAAATCATCCAGTGGTGCTGAAAGCTGACTTTTAGGCAGTGAAGTTGTTTAAAAAATTAATCATGCATCCACAATCTTTTAACACTGCTAGAGATGTACCTAATTTTTGGTTCTACTGGATATGGGATGAATTACTTTTCTTGCTGCTAACATCAAGAAGATAACCAGACTCAATGGTGGTGGAAAATACCAGTGATATTTGCTATCTGGTACAGAAAATAGAAGAAACAGTAATACAGTAATATTCAGGAAACTAATTTTGTCCTATATGGTTAAAAGCCTACTTTTAGCAGGCTTTGGAAAGAAAATAAAATATAAAATATATTAGAAAATAAAACATAAAAGTCAATGATCCTCATTTTTTGTGGGGAAAAAAGCAAAACAAACAAAAAAAAAAGAAAAGAAAAAAAAAGTTTTGACAGGAACCTGCATAAAAAAAAGGATGATCAGCACAGTTCTGTCAAGTTTAGAAAGGCAGTGGGGAATTCCAGGAGTCTTTGCTTAAAGACATTAGAGAGTTGTACAAAACGGTCTATTATGGTGAATTTTTCAGTCACACTGGATCTAAGGCTTCACTGATCGCGTAAGACATAAGGTCCAATCACATGAACTTATCTATTTAAAGAAACTGAAGATTCAGTAGGTGAAAGGAAGTGTTTGTTAGGAAGTAAGGCAGCAACATCTCCAAAGATTTATCATAGCTCTTTGAATCAAAAATGTCAGTTCTACCACTTTGCTGTGAGCTGATTTTTTTCTGATACTCCATTTTTATTGCAGTCTAATTCTGACCAATGTGTTATTTTAAATGCTTATGATTTACAAATATTTAACCCCCCTCCCTTCCCTCAGATTTCATTACTGGTATTTAAACTGATCTTCTGGAGAGTTCTTGTGCGATGCTGGAATTTTCAGACGTTTCAGAGATGGATTTTGAAAGATGTAACACATAGGTAGCTACTCAGATGTACTGGAATGTAGTGCTCTACACACTGGGTAAGAAAAGTGTACCATTTTCCATTTAAAAAGCAGAATACTAAGAAAATGGGAAAAAAGATATTATGTATCTAAACACTAATGTTCCATTTTGGGAATGCTAGCTAGGGAAAACAACAGGGAAACAGGGAAAAAAAAAAAAGCTATTCTCAACCTCTAACCATACAAACTATTTGTAAGTTTGTTCATTTTCCCATTTGTATTTCCCCTTCTCCTGACATAGTTCATCATTGCTGACTGCAACAAAAATGTCAGTACTGGCTAAACTAAAGAAATTGTTTTGCTGCAACATTCACGCCAGGTCTAAAAAGAATTTTAAACTGGAAAGTATAACTGCTGCAATAATTTCTGGTATTTGGCACTCTCAATAGTTTACATTTGGTCTGTCTGAAAAAACCATTCTGGAAATAAGTAGCTAGAATAAATCCTCTTATTCTAACTTTAAATGTAAATTGAGCTTCCAGCAAACAAACAGCTGACTGTCCGGCTTCTAGTGGTTTCTAATTTTCAGATTTTTCATTTGTCTTTTTTTTTTTAACCTGATTGCAACATGCTCAAGTCGACTTTCCAGTCAATTCACCCGAATTCCAACAGGAATTGGTTTATAAATTGGTTCCAACTGGAACTGGTCATTTGGAATTTCCAGCACAGGAAATTATTCTATAAGTGCCTTGATAAGTACCCTAAATTACAAACGGATGTGTTTAGTATCTAATGACAAGAAAATATGGCTATAAATGCAAATGCTGTACTAAAAATAAAATAAATAACCCAAAAAACAACCTATATGATCGGGCATAAACGTAAGGGCCTGGTAACTTTTTTTTTGCCCCCTACTTAACATCAAGTGACAGCAGAGTGCAACTTCAGTATGACCGTGTTACATCTGCCAAATTAACATGATTGATTTTTAATTTCTTTTCCTAGCTACGTTATGGCAGTTACTAACTGATGAATACTATTTTTCCCCATGTTCTTGAACTCAAAGCCTATGTCGTGAATCATGGCTGTATCCTCCAGGGGATCCTCGGTTCCTGTGGGGTTTGTACGTGTCCTGGTATGAGTCAGAGTATTCTTCTTCCACTAGAGGATAGTGATCTCGGCTGTGTTGGGAACTGGAAGACAAGCGGTTCCTGCTCTTCCGAGCCCTTTCATTGTGATAATTTTCATCTGAGGTCATTAGACTTCGTCGCTCAATTGGAGAGTTCTCTGCGGAATGGCTGCTGTGCCTCATACGCTGGCTCTATGAGTGCCAAAGAATCCAAGCATTAATACAGACAAAAAGTATTTTACATTATTAGCTTGTTTTGAGACTTATTCTGAGGTCTTTCAGAATCCATCCACTTTTGTGTTACTCATTTTATATTAAAGCCTGTATGCTACAGGAATGGGTTACAAAAATAGTCTGGTTCCTAGAGCTGAAAGCAGACCAAAGGCGGTGTTACAGTGTGTACCTCTCATAGGATTCACCTTGGTAAATATTACAGGCCATTTAGCATGAAAAGTGAGCTGATGTATTCAGCATTTATCACTTTTCTCTGATCATGAACATAACATTTATGCTGCTATTCTGCTTAGGAAATTTGGAGCTCTGATCTAAGTGGTCTTAAAAAACATCTGAAGATGTTTGTTGTTTTGTTGGTTTTTTTTTAAAGGTGCAGCTCTGAGTCCGAACTAAAAACCTTCATATGACCATGCAAACAATGGGCTGCTAAACAGAAAGCTAAGGAGTGCCTATAATTATTAGATAGTAACAGATTCTTTCAACTAAAACATAATAAATATTTTAAATATGTTGACAGAAAATCCTTTTCTAAGATAATTTATTAATTGAAAGGTTTAGCCTTTGCTATCCTCATATTCCCCTAATGACAACGTGCTACACTTGTTGACCATAATCAGTCTGTATTTTTTGCCAGTAAATCAGCACAATGAAGAAGCTGCCTAAAAAAAGAAAAGCATTTCATTTGCTTAAACCTCTGCAGAGAACAGCCATCCATACTCTCAGTACAAACTTAGTCAATACTTTCTCAAGATTAGACACCTGATGTAACTTGCCTGTAACTGCCAAGAGAGCACTGCCACAATGGCTGTACCTGGTACAGGTACAGGGAGGTAACTGTGCAGACAGGTATTCATTTACAGCATGGCAGTCACATTTCTTTCTGATGCCACCAATACTCACTGAGGTTCCATTTAATGAATGGCACAGAAGAGGGGCCCTTCTGCAAATTCACACACACAGCTACTGACTAGCAACTTCTACCATGTTATCCCCAAGTTCTCCTTACAGCATCAGGTTTTGGTAGTGATTATATGTCAAAGTCCACATATTTTCTTCACAAATTATGCTTCTTGCATTTATTTGACATGCAATTTTGATATATAATCACCTGTGCTCACACCCTCCATCTTCTCTGTAGTAATCTACCTCTGTGGCTGCAACCTGCTCTTTTCTACAAACCGTTCTGTCTCCTTGCCTCGATTGTGTAGTTATTCTGATCCCACTCTTTACCTCCCAAGAGGTGTAAGTGTGGCACAAAACTGGTGTGGTTACATGCTGGTCTTATGCCCCCAATAACTTTTGATCCTGCAGCACAACTGGAAAGATAAGCTGCATTACATTTTCTGCAGTAATGGCACCTGAAATGCAAATCCTCTGGAGCCTAAGAAACACTCCTCCCCCAAACTCAAACTACAGGATTTAACTCCATTTGCTGAAATTAGACTGAGCTATGTAGCTTTAGAGCTAACCAGGGATTAGATACAAAGGCAAATGACTGGTCCGTAAAAGTTAGCAATGACAAAATTTCCTATTGAGGTCTGCCACACAAACAGCTCAACATGGACATCCTCCCCTTTTAAGTAAGGTCATAATCAAGGAGGACGAAATGACCAGCAGCTTTGGTAGGTATAGCAGACAGTGTGATGGGACACAGCTGGAGCACACTGTTACCTACACCTTCTTATCAGACTCTTCTGTACCTATGCCATTCAACCTCACCCTGATGACCTACACCCAGAGAGTTAAGTTAAATCAGAAGTTTCAGTTCTTAGTAAACTACATTCCAGGCCATAATGAGTAAAACAGGGATAACTCTGAAGTCCTGATTAGGTGATGTAAGAACAGACTGTCCCAGCAAATCTGTATCACTCTCAGGTGTGACTGTTATGCGAGGCTCTGGGCTTTTGGTATTCAGTTCCCCCAGGTATCAGGCAAGAAGGAGTCACAAGGTCATAAGAAGTATAAATTCTTAATATATCATAAGCACCCAAGCTAATTTAATTCCTAGGATTCGCACGAGTGCTTTTTAATTACCACACCACATCATTACAGTTAAAACTGATGCAAATCCTTCCAAAGGCTTGAATTAGTATAAAGCGTCTTTGTGGATAAGCCCTCCAGATGCAGGAAGTCTTTACTATGAGATAACCATGTGAAACATCAGCACTCTTTAAACGGCCCAAACACCTGAGTGGCACTGAAAGCCAGGTCCTGCAGTCTCTAGTTGGGCATCATTCACTCAGGGAGAAATTTACCCCTCTGCAGAGAACTAGCACCATTCAAGTCCCACCTAAGCCTTCACGATTAGGGTGAAGTGGGGATTATGTGATGCATACCTTCAGCCAGCCCACTGCACAGGGGTGATTTTCATCTTCAGTGTGAGTTTTCCCTAAGTAAATGGAGCAACATTTCACAGTTACTGCTGGTGTCCATTGATCAGAGAGAAATAAATGCCTGAAAAAAATTCTGTGGATACACCCAGTTTTCAAAATGAAACTGAAGAAGTGGAAGTTCTGCAGATGGCATTTTATTGTCATGAAGGGATGGAAAAACGGAAATTTTAAGGCAAGTGAAAATGGAAACAACAGTTTACATGTGCACATCATTGGTAACAGAACAGTGCTTGTGCACTCGGCCAGTGAGGAAACAGTGACTTACTGATCCTAATAAAATCAAGCACAGCATTAGAAACGTGAGTATCAAGTAACATGCACCTCCAGTGAAGTGCAATTCACTCACAGGAAGAACAGCTTTATGTTAATTGAAAACACTGACCAAGGCATCAATTCCTTCAAAACTGTTACCTGCTTCCAGACACACTACAAGCAGAACAAAGGTTAAATTTCTCAGGTGAATTATTCGTTACATGTAATTCACTCAGCTCTACTGTTGACATGTTAGAAAATGCACACTCCTAGAAAGTCACACACATACAGAACTCCTGAAATAGAATTAAAAGTTCGCTGCAATCCTAATGTTCTCAAGCATTCATAACTATTAATAAAAAACATTTTCTGTTTTCAAACTTAGTAAAGCACGTACTTCTCATTAAGGACTATTTACATGCCACGTTTGAAGTTTCAAAGTTCAGCCGTTTTTGAGCTATCCCTGTGGAAAAAAATGGTCAGAATTTTTTTCAACAGGTAAAAAAAATGTTACTTTATTCATACTCAAAAAGGTGAAGACATTTTGCTGATACAAGAGACAAGTATGGAAGTTTTTCACCCCAAAGTGAATGATTTGTGAAGTTATGAGAATAGACATAAACAGGATCATCACAGACACTGTTCTGCATTCTTAACTACAGCTCAACTGCACTGACATACTACACATGCTTATTCTCAACCAGACGGGGTCACATTTGCAATGACGTTTTTTTCCAGATTAAAAAGATGGGTCAATTTCTAATATGGCTACAATGCCATGTGATATGAGTGTCAGTTAACTCTTCCTCAAGAACTCACTCCTTGCCAGAAAATGTATGAACATTTTAATTGCCATTAAAGAGCAGTCGCAGTGCTTCAGCACTTGGCTGATTTGACTGCTGCTTCACCAGTTACAGGCCCTAGCTTGACTTCTTACTGCTGGTGGCCAAACAGTGAATAATCATAAAATCACAGAATAGTTTGGGTTGGAAGGGACCTTAAAGCTCATCTGGTTCCAATCCCCCTGCCACAGGCAGGGACACCTTCCACTAGACCAGGTTGCTCCAAGCCCCGTCCAACCTGGCTCTGAACACTTCCAGGGATGAGGCAGCCACAGCTTCACTGGGCAACCTGTGCCAGTGCCTCAGCACCCTCACAGGGAAGAGCTTTTTCCTTACATCTAATCTAAATCTCCTCTCTTTTTAAAAAACTTTAAACTTTTAAAGCTTAAAGCCATTCCCCCTTATCCTATCCCTATGTGCCCTAGATAATAACAACTGATGAAGCAAATATAAGTTATGATATATAAAACATATTATGCTATTTCCCCATTAATTAAAAAAATCCCCATCTAATGTGCACTGGGGTTTGGGGCTGAAATGTATTTACATACCTGTAATCCAGAGATTGCAGCAGGATATGGTGAAAGTGCAGTGGATCCTAAATTTCGCCCAAGGAGAGGAGTCATGGGTGTGCTACTGGTGGTGTGAGTAGCACGCCAATACGCCTCAAGATATTCTGCCAAGTGTTCGCAAGCATCTTCAAGCTGATTTTCATCCAAAATTACATCAAACATTTCCTGATCACAACAACAAAGTTTGGTTCATTGCGATATCACAGATACACAAAGTAAACAATTCTCATCATGGTGATCCTTTAGAATTTAAGAAATAAGAATCAGAGCATGGGATTGCAAAGGAAAATCATACAAAGGTGATCAAAAGCTCTCAGAAATCACTGTATCCATTCAGCAAGATTCACTACATCTTGTGTGAGCCCTGCCACAGTCAAAAGGCATAACTCCTTTACTGAATTCATTTTGCTCCAAGATAGGAACTGAAGCTCAATGTTAGAGTAACATAGAGGTGCTCTGCACTGGTTTTGGATGGAGGACTCACACATACTTCTCTCATCCTCATTGTGAACACATTTCCAGAGTGATGGTGCCCCTAAACCCATTTCCACTTCAGTGAATGTGGCTTCCAATTCTCTTGGCAGCAGCAGCAGTATTGCTGCTTCAGAGGCTCCTGCAGGACATCCAGCTGTTCAGAGACTTAGAGAGACTCCTTCAGAGGCTATTGTTTTTTTAACTACTTCCAATTCTGCCTGTCTGGAGAGCCTTACCTATCTGACCTCAAATCTGCACAACCATGCAGGTACGATCTTTCCCCTACTAATCTCTTTAACAGGGGATAGCCTCTGACCATTAGTGCAAGTACCGGTCCCTGCCTCAGACCAGATCACCATGCAACCCACAGGACAGTTCTTTACTAGTGAATGTAGAAGGAATTAAAAGCCACATGGCTTCTGAGCCACCCAAGAAGTCAAATGGACACTGTTTCTAGATTAGCAGCACAAGTGCTGGTAACAAACAGCAGATATTAATCCATCATAAACTGAGTTCCTCAAGAGAAATGTTACCAGTATATTTTCAGCAGTGAAATCTCGTACCTCATCTTTAATCTTAACTCGCACTTTGTGGAAAAAAATAATGTGGAAATAGCACAGGAAATGAAAAACAAGTGCAGGTGCTGCAGGTGTTAAAGAGTAACTGATACGAACCACAGACTGCTTTTCCTCCATGCGTTTATATATCTATCCAATACACATAGAGCTGACACCTCTAGAATAAGATGTAAAACTGCATGATGAATTTGTCATGTATCTTGATCACACATCTACCTTCTGCCCAAAAGTCTGGTCCAGAACCTGCTAAGGCAATTTCATTTCTTTTTAAATATATTCTCTCCTGTCAGCACAGTAGAGCAACGTTCTCTCCTCTGCCAGCAAGTGTAGAGTCTTCTTTCTAATAAGAACACTCCTAACACTGCATCCTTCGTTCAAATTCAGTGTTTACTGATGCGTTTTTGTTCTTCTCTCTCTGTCTATACCCTCTACACCCTCCTTCACTATATAAACACATGTTGATACATTATGTATCCCGTTACATCCCTCATCATCATTTCTGGAAGAAGTTAGTAATTCAAACATAGGAAATAAATGGATGGAAATAAATGAATGTGGTTTGCTTACATATACTTTGCTTTGGAAAATACTGAAATTAAAATGTTACACTTGGAATGTAATGGGTGTTTGCTTCAAGAAAGAAAGGAATATTGTCATTTTCTGGTCTGACACTAGTAAGCAGTTTTCCTGCTCTGCTCATTCTCAGCATAGCTGGCTCACTGATTTGAAGGCCACTCTGGCTGGCTTTACAAAACTCAGCTTTGCAAGGGAGCTGCAGTGGAGTTTTAGCAGCAAGCAGGTCAATGAATACTCAGCCAACCTTCTCCTGCTAAACTAGGGAACTGTTTCTCAAGTTTCTTTTTAACCTGTATCAGGTGATTCAGGAAGCTGACAAAATGCTGCACTGGCATAACCACACATGCTGAAAGGTGTAAGCGAGACAAAGAGATCAGCAACGGGAACACCAATACAGCTGCCCACAACTTCCTTTCTCAATTTCTAAGAAATGCACAGCTCATACTCTAGCTGACATACCTAAACCAGCCAGTTGTGTCATGATATGTAGCTTCGTGGTGTTTTGACAGTGAACTCAATTAAAGTGCATTTAGGGAAGAAGAACTTTTAATAGTTGCAGTAGTACTGTCACATTTTAACAGTTAACTGTAAAATAAGGCTAGGACTGATAACGGTGAGGCTCTCTGGCTGTCACTTGAAGGTCACCTGGAGAAGCTGCAAAATTAGCAGGATCCTGATTCCAGACCTCTATGGTATTTTACAGGGAAAATGAATTACAGAGAAAGCACTTGAGTTTTGTCTTGCATTTAACAGTTGCGCTCATAGCTAAACTGTGTTTGTTCTTTGTATTTGGGAGCAAAGAATCTTTTAAGGAGATGCTTGCTTCTAAGGGTTGTGGAATAAAGCAATTTCTTCCCAGTTCTCTTTAAAATGCATTTTATTCACCGCAGTATGCTCTCTACCACATGCCTAAAATAGTTATCATATGAGTATTTCCATATACCACTATTTCTGAAATTATATACATTAAAGCAGTGGTCTTTCCAGAAGAGAAGATAAAATAGTTGTCACTGTCCTCTGCTATTTCTGCTATATTTGGCTTACTGTATAACCACTGTGAAATACCTCAGGTGCATTATCCCATGTTAGCAACGCAAAATAAAATGGTCAGGGCTACAGAGGCATCCTCCTCACGCACAGGAAAGCTTGTGAGAGGGAGGGGAAGAGGGACTAAGCCTCAGGTACAGCCCAGAATCAGTACAGGTATGGGCAATCCCAGATGGCATTTGAGATCAGCCATGTGAGCTCAAGCCCTGGGTGAACAGATGACCCAGCCAGAAGCGTAAGGATGGAGGTGTATCCGAGAAAGAGGAATTTGAACTTGTGGATGTATCTTGTGTACTGGTTATTTTTAATTATACCAATGCATTTTAGTTCTGCTAGAGTATAATTTCTATCATTTTCGAGGTTATATCAAATCGAGCACAGGGATATGTATCCTCTGTTCACACTGGCATGATTCTAAAAGTTAAAAAAAAATAATCATAACAAACTGTATACAATGAATGTACTAAAATCTTTATGGTTAGCACAGCTCACATTTCTTTGAGCCATAAACACTATTCTTGCTTAATGGAGTCATGCAGCAGTAGGCACAATTAGCACTGGCTTGAGCAGCATCAGTGAAAGATTAGCAAGGAATTAATAATGAAAGCAGTTCCTGAACTTAAACATGCCAAAAAAGACAGCTATTTTTAACATGTCTAGACATTCAGCACCATCTGATTACTTAAGGCTGGATCTCAGCAAATGAAAGAAAAGTGAGGGTTTTACGGTTTTCAAGTATCTTCACTTAAATATTCCTCTTGCAGGAATTTGAGCTGCAGGACAGATGAAGCAGGTCACAGTGCAGAAGACAGCAGAATCTTTGGTCTTAGCAGTATACTTTTACTTAATTAAGTCATGGATCGACTTTGTCCTTTAAATTAAACTTAACCAAGACTGTCATCTCCCTTCACATGCTCTAAGGCAGCAGTAATTTTCTTGAATCAAACAGTGCATAACTGATCAGATGGTTTCTCCATAAGCTTATGCAAGTCACAGTGGGAGGCAGCCTCTGAGCAAGTATGGTTACATGTTTGAAATTTGGATACTCTGAAATTCTGAAGTATTTTCATATCCAGTGGGGTCTCACTTTGTGGCCTCAGGCAATAAAATACAGTTATTAGATTGGGTGTAAAGGCAGAATTTACTGGATCCTGGGGATGGACAATCTAAGTGCTGTAATGCAGTGAACAAGCTACAACATGCATCCTGCTGCTGCATGTGGTTTATTTCCATCAATACAGCTATTTGCCTCATTTCAACTGATGTGAGCAAACCTAAGTGGAATTAGGGGAGATCACTACATAAAGAGCAAAGACCTACATAGAGAGCAAAGATGACTGTGAAACATGCACAGGTTTCTCTGTGCAGATGGAAAAATACATACACCTTTCAAATGTGAAGAATGTGCAGTGCGTTGTTCTGTGTGTAAGCTCAGTGAAAGCTTGGTGTACATACCACAAGCTATATTCAGATAGGTGTAATTCCATTTAATTTGGCTTACACCCATTAGGAGTCAGGAAGGTATATGCTTTTCCAGAAATTATTCTGCAGAGTTTTGTTTCAGTTAAGGGGACCTGAATGGTTCACAGGAATTCTCAGTCACCATTTTTAGAGAGAACAATTCAGTAGAAGATTACACATGAGAAACATAATACAGCTGAGCTCTCCAGAAGAACTTGAGATGGCTCAAACATCTTTCTGCGCTGCTCAAAGTGGAAAGCAAGGATGAAAGAGTGAGCAAAGCTATCTACAGTTACTGTAACCAGAAGCTTACAGGTCAATGCAGTAACATGACCAGCTGGATGTATATGCAGATGCCATCTACAGCTTTGGACAGCTGGACATCTGCAAGTGCTGCTGATGGAGTGAGGGGTACACAAAGTGTGGCTACAAAACCTGGACCCACAAGGGAAACAGCAAGCTGTGTGGGGCAGAGCAGGCACTGCAGGAACTGGAGAAAGCAAAGTATGTCTCCCCCCATATCCACACCACCAACAGCACTTTTCTGGATTATTTAAATTCTTGTTCTGTATCAGACATAGGAGGAATATGAATCAGATTTCTCATTCTAGACATGTCCTTAAATCATTCCACTTTTAAGGAAGACAGAAATGGCAGTCAAGCCTGACTGACACTTCTGTCCTTACTTTTCTCTGCTTTGTAAGACTTCAGTGTGAATCTAGCCTGAACATACACCAAAACACTACAAAACCCTGCAAAAACTCAGAATTTTCATAGATCCACATTAATTATTCTTCATTTTGTATCTGTCAAACTACTGAGTGAACATAACCTGAACTTACCAGCAGTGCCAGTCAGCTTGAAACGACATTTTTCAGAAGGCAAATCAGCACATGCAGAATTACCCCACTCTCTTGCTAATCCAAGGCAGAATCATTGGGCAGACCTGAGGCCACAGAGGCTGTTCCAGACAGGCAAAGGCAGGCACACAGCTGCAGCAGAAACTGGCAGTCCCTAGCTGGCAATTAGGCAGGTCTGTCTGATGGCAAGAGCTACCTTAAAAAGCCAACCAATGGCCAAGAGAAGAGAGAAAGAGAAGGCTCTCTCCAGGTCTCCATTTCTGATGGATGGAGTACCACCAGTCCCAGCAACAGCAGCTCTGGAACATCTGAGGGGCATGAGAGCACTGACCTGTGCGGCCCAGCCTCAATTCCAAACAACAGGAACATCTATTGCTATAATTTAGGAGTGCTCAGAACTACCTGGTTTATCTTCTTATGGCCACTGGGGACAAGAGAGAAAGAGGCTGTGAAGTCTGGCATCTTAAAAAGTATACAAAACCAAGTTAAGTTTCATGGAAATAAATCCTTGTGGATCATTGCTCCAGAACAGAAGCTTCATGAACTTTGCTACTTGCATCTCAATTAAGAATAAAAGCCATCTGAAATGGAGGCAGTTGCTTTAACGTCCACGTAACACAACAATAGGTCTTCTAGAAGCATTATCTGGGCATTAGGGTTTGGCATTCATTCTGCTTATCTCAACTCTCAGATTTGTTCCTAGACTGTTCCAAGACATTTCTTTTGTCAGCACTTTGCCTACTTTAAGTCAGGGAGAATGTTCATGGAAACCTTTCCAGTGTCTATTCTGAATTTCTCTCAATTAATCTGATTTCTACTCAGTTCTTCGGCATGAGAAAGTTGGGCCAAGCCATGGTGATGATCATTCCCTGGTACAAACAGTCATCTCTGTGCTACCAGACTGATGTTACACACAGCTGTTAACGCTGTAAGAGCAAATCCACGTCCAAGTTTGCTTCCACTGAGTGGCTTTCTCTGTCACAGAAACTAGGTTTCAAAAATAAAAGCAAGTTCGAGCTGCCCTGTCCAAACACTTGTACAGGTTTTCCTCACAGCACTGCCTGCCTAACCAGCTATCTAGCAGGACCTCTGGTCTTTAAGCAGCAGGTCATTCAGTGTGAGTAATAGGTACATTTGATTAAATGGTTGGTGAGCAGTGGCTCCGATAGGTACCTGTCTGGTGTGTCTGGACTCACTGCACAGCTGAAGGAAAGTCCTCTGCTGCCTCCTCCCAAGCCAGGAGTCTGAGACTTTGACCCTTTGGGACCTTAACATATCACTGCTCCACAAATGATGTCATTTGTTCATGTGCTAGCAGATCAGTTTTCTACACATTATTTTTGACCTGTGACCTTGCCAAAGATCATCATAAACCCAGCACAGGAGATAATAAGGATTAAAGTATCGCACAACTTGTTTCTTAGCAATAAAATCTGATCGATAATTGTAACTGCAGGGCTGACTGAATCACCATAAAGTGAAGTGATAACATATGAGCTTGGCTACAATAAAGGACCAACACAGCAGAAATCGTTAAAACTCCACGTATCACAAGTTCTTTAGCCTTTCTTCTGTACTTACTGGTGGGCATTGTGCAAGTTTGTCGGCTGCCACCAACTGAACATTCAAGTGTTTACTTTGTGACTTTCCTCTAGATTTAATCAGCCGCTGCAAAACCTGACAGAGAAAAAGAGGAAAAAGTGAGTTTAAGAATCACGTATCTCCATAAAGCTCAGCCTGCCATCCCATTGGAGGGTTTCCAAGTTTAGAAGCTCTCTTTCCTGATCAACAAAATCAGTAAATTTTTGTCTTTGAATAGAAGCACAAACCTTTCTGACAACCTCCCTGAAAGCTGTGTACGTTTCACTCTCCATCGCACTTCATCCCTCCTGAGTATTTCAAGTGCAGTGTAAATGGTAATTTTGCTTTCTTCTACTTGAATAGGTTATTTTTGACAAATGCACTCTTCTAGAGGACCATGAAAATTATATGCATACAGAATTATACTGGATTGTTGCAGCACAACAGCTGCTGCAGCACATTACATTGTGTAGCAATAATACTGCTACTTAATCTATTCTGAGGTGTATTTTGGGTACAGAGAGGTATTTTACATACACAGTTTATATTACTCTTTTTTCCTTCCATTGTGCTCATTACCAGGATCTGAGGGGTGGGAAACTTAAGAATCCTGAATCATTTCTCTGTAAAGTTTCAAAGAAAATTACAGGATCACAGAACAGGTTTTTAAGTTGGAAGGACTTCTAGAGGTCTGTGTGCCAACCCCTCACTCAAAGCAGGGCCAGGATCAGATTGCTCGGGTCTTCATCCTGCTGAGTTCTGAACACTTCCAAGGAGATCCCACCACCTCTCTGAGCCAGGACTGACCCATCTTTCTTTGTACAGCTCAACATACGGCTGATTCTCTGCTGCAAGGGGATGCTGCTCACTCCTCTCCAAACTGTTACCCACCAAGCCCTCCCGGTGTCACTGGCTGCAGAGCTGAGCCCCAGCCTGGCCCGAAGTAGGAGGTTACTCCAGCCCAGGCAAATGAATTGGTATTTGCCTGTGCTGAACTTCAGGAGGTGCCTGACAGATCATTTCTCCAGCCTGCCAAGGTCCTTGTAGATGACAGCCCTGCTGTCTGGCACATTAACCTGCCTCAGAATAGGTACTGTCCACAACCTTGGTCGTTAACAAGGTCATTAACAAAAATGAACCGTACTGGCCTCAGTACAGATTCCTGAGGGACACCACTGGCAACCAGCTGGACTTTGTACCTCTGACCAGCATGCTGAACCCAACAGGTTCTTGGTGTAATCCAAGACAGTCTTTCATGGGCTTCTGCTGAACAGACCCCTGAACAAGCCACTTCTAGCGCCTAGGCCTGCAGTTCTGTTAATTGTACTGCTCACTTCTCTCAGGATCTTAAAATTCCACCATCTCATGGTTTCTGCAGCCAAGTTTGTCCTAGACCTCACAACTCTGTCCAGTTCTTCCTTTTTCCACCCAGAAGCAGGTCCAGCAGAACCTCCCCATCTCTTGCAGGATATCTGCACCAAGAACCATGTGCCAACATGGCTCTCCAGAGTGCCACAGTGGTCACTCCAGCAGGTGTTGGGCACATCCCACCACTGCTATGCTATTCCATGGGATCCAAAGTCCCTGTCATCACTCTAGGCCCCCTTCTGGACTAATAACCATTATCATGGTGGGGTCCATGCTGTGCTCCTGAGCAACAGTCACATTCCCACTGTATGGCAAGAGCTGGCCCAGTGGCCAACCACTGGTCCAGACCCAGCTGTGGATTGTGTATCTACATGCCCTGGTGGAAGCCAAGCCACAGACAAAAGCAGACAGGCTTGGTTTGTGATCAACAGACAATCATCATTAGCTGTGTGGGGAGTGGGCAAAGGGCCAAGTGCTGCCTCAGAAGCTCAGCTTAAGGTTAGGGCTTACGGAGAGACAACCCAGAACTACAGCTGTGCTGGGGAAAGGGGCTGCAAAGGGACTGCCAAGGGGAACCGAGAGTTACCGGAAGAATTTGCTCATCAGGAATATTTTTTGTCTACTTAACTAGTGGGTTCCTTGTCTAAGGCTCAGCCTAAGACTTTGTCACTGTTTAGGGCAGATACAAGAAATTGCATCAGACACTCACTTGTCAAGCCCTCAATCTAAAGAAAAAAAAAAACCAACTTTTTTTTTCTCTTCATCTCATTCTTGATTTCTTCAGGTGCAGGTATCACACTGCTCCCCCCACACTGCCCTCCAGGTCCCTCTCAAACGCACACTTTTTAAGGTTGAGATACATTACCTTTGGAGAAGACACCTTCACATGGACAATAATTGGTGCTAAAGATGTCTTGATAAGTTGTGCAGGGTGATTGATAGTGTCTGCATCTAGGACAACCAGTTGTAAGGACCTTGCCAGCTCAAAGATTCTTTCAATTTCACTCTGTACTTCAGCTAGCAAAGGAAAACAAAACAGGTGAAAGCTGTTCAACCCCAGCACTGCATAAGACAAAAAATATCATCACCCATTTATTTTCACAGACTGTATGCGTTCATTATGTGAACTCCATATGTGAATTAATGTAATTGCCAAAAACCAACCTATTACTCAAGGCAACTTTTTAAATAAATACTACCTTTGAGACAATTCTGTACAGACAATGTCTGTACTATGTTCCTTTATAATATCAGTGTATTTAAACACTGCATACAATTAAATATATGTTTCTATTAACACAAAATAGATATAATTGCATTTTCCAAATCTGCAAAATAGCTTTTTCTTTTTTAGTTTAGAGAGAAAGCAATGTTTTAACAAATGGATATTTCTTAAAACTGGGTTTTTTTTGTTCTTAGATTGCAATTCTGATTTAACTTAAACAAGAGTCTGTATGAAAAGCAGAACTGTGACTTCTTAATTCTATAACTACAAAAAAAGCTTATGTTAAATAATCAGCAGAGCATTATTTAAAAAGACAGTAATGGCAATATTCATAACAAAGCACTTTTGTCTGTAGAAAAAGAGAAATTTATTTCCATGTAAATTATATTTCTGTTATTCACTATTCTGACCCTTCTTAATCATTCACATGCATAGGACAAATTTTAAATAGATAAACTCAGCACAAATTGAAGCCTGTAAGTTATACCACCAAAGCACAAAAGATCTGTGTGCCAGCAACTCACATGCATTTAATCTGCCTGAGAGCTGTTCCACAGAGCAACATGTGATCACAGGCACAAAATGATTCAGTACTCATCTTTGCAGCACTTAATTTTGGGGTGCTACTCCTGTACTAGAAGGCCAGCTAGAAGTGAAGAGTCCTATGACCTACACCTCTAGTTCAAACAGTCACTCGGGATGTCAGAGAACTGGGTTTAGGAGCCTTTTCTTCCTGAGAAGGCTGAAAACCAACTCCTCCTGGGAGACCAGCTTACTGGCTGTCGTGGTTTAAGCCATGACACTGGCACACATATAATGCTACACACAGATTCCCACCCTTGTGAAAGAAATGAAAATTCACCAGGCCACTGTAACCCAGCAGTCATGACACTGTGAGGAGAGGGTGGGAAGACCCAGAGTCTCATGGCCAGACAGCAAAAATAAGCTGAAGCTGTTGAGCATTTAATACAAAACAAGTCTTCATGAGCACCATGTCTCCTTCTCTGGACAAGGTGAAAGCTATTTGGCACCTTGTGACATGGAACTGAAGCACAGGGCTGAGAAGAGGGAGCTGTGAGGCAATCTAGCCTTGGAAGGAAAGAGCAAACCATACTACAGGCCCCTAACTCATCTTTTACAAACAGCACCTGTAATACTGCTTGCTCTAGCACAGGTAATTGCTTAACATGAGGCTAACCCAGTACCCTGTGCTCTGTTCCCCCTCCTCAGTTAGGAAAAGTGTCTCCCATTCGGGTATGTGAAATTCAGGATTGTACATTAGAATGCTGTAGATACATTTCAAATTGCAGAACTGATGACATCCTGAATGCTGAAATCCTGCCACTTTCCTCCAATATGCAACCATATTAATAATTACCTATGTGTCAGTGTCTTACCTAAACTGGATCTTGTATTTGACCGCTCAATTATTGCCCTCTTGCTTGGATTATTTAGAACAGACCTCTTAGCAAGAGAAATGTCAGCTGTCACTCTAGTTATTGATATCCTATGAGTAAGAACACACGACAGAACAAAAACACAGTAGTCAAATTTCCAGTGCACTGTGCATGACTTACAGCTACTTTCTATTCCAAAGTGCAAATACAATAAAATACCACCCAGACATGTTTTGTAGGTGAGTTATGTCATCATTAAAGAACAATTAAAGATAAATTATTTCCTACACTACTGTAGACTCTGGCATATAGTTTCTGCTATTATACTTAATGCATTAGTTAACTTCTCCTCCCCAACTAAGTCATCTCCTACATGGTTTTATACAGTACCATAAACACTATAAGTTAAGCGAGTCTTCAGGCACCCAAAACAACAGAGTCATAACAGTAACAGCACTTCTCTTCCCAGATAGTTAAACCATTGCTTAATCCTGATATTGCTGGGATGTAAGGAAGGGTTATATCTGGACATCTGAGCAGACCATGTCACTCATAGCTGAGTGCCTGTGAGTCACTGAACAGAGCTCCTTGCTTTGGGACATTGGTCCTCCAACAGGCACCTCCTTTTCCAGACAGGCAGCTCTGCCGATGAGCTAAATGCTTGGCTCCTGGTTGAACAGGAGAAAAGTTTGAGCCACAGCTCTCTGTACTGCTGGAGCCTGCTCTTTAAGGAAGGTGATTTTTTTACTTGACCTGTCAGTGAGCTGACAAGAGACAAAGGGTTATAAAACAAAACCACACAATCACTTCATGTAACATTCATTTAGGACGACTGTGATGAGCCAAGAAGCCATGAATAATGAAAAGAAAGCTAGCTGGAAATGACTAGCAGCTATTCCACAGAATGTAATTTCACTTAGAGCTGCATAAATCTTATCAGATGTAGGGTTAAAAAGAAGTGCAAGTATTTTTCTATATAATGCATAAATAAATTCACTGCCAGAAAATGCAGTAGAGACCAGAAGTATAAATGAATTTAAAAAAGAAATGAGAGAAATTAATGGATCATGGGTCTAGAAGTCATCACAACAAAGTGACAATAAAACACAGTGGTCCAGATCGCATCTCTGGCTCAGGGAGTTCTTAGATCTCTGACTGCTGGAATCAGAGACATGTAACAGAGAAAGGACTGAAAATGCTCACCTACTGTGCCAGATATAGGAAGCATTTCATTCTTCCTGAGTAAGAAGTAATTCTAAGTATCACTGTTGCTGAAAGATGTTAAGGGAAAAAAAAGTGCCTTTGCTATGTTTTGTATAGAGTCAGGCTGCCCTATGCAGCAGTGATTAAATACAATCCATTTAGAAAATGATACTGTTAGAGCCTCTGCAGAAGCATTCCCTGAAGGCCTCATGTCAGACAGGCTTTAGTAGATTCCTTTCAGCAGGCCTGCATAGTGCAGCCCTCAGGTCTTTTCTTTAGTTCACTGACCAGAAGAGGATGTTGCAGTTACAAAAGAAGAAGCTGACAGAAACCAAGTGTATTAAGACATGGGAAAGGAGTCCTGGTAGTCCAGGTCTTACTGGAGTCTTTTGAAAAGCTCATCCTTGGACAGTTAATTCCTTTCTTGGTAACATGGACCTGTCACAAAATTGTAGAAGAGATGGAAATAAAGAAAAGTGTAGGGAAAAGAAAAACAGCAAAGCCATAAAAGTTGGCAGGAGGATGAAGCAGCAGCATTTTTCTGAAGTTACTCAGAGCTAAGTCACTGGTATCAGCTTGCTTGTGGCATTTTACTTTTTCAGTGATGAAATTTCATACTTCTACCTGATCTAGTTGCCAGTATTACTAATGGCAATAGGATTGACAAAAAATACCTCTCTCCTGGCAGAATCTCTCCCTATTACCACTTTGTGCAGACCAAGGGCATGGTGGGAGAAAAGACAGAAAAGCAAGGCAAAGAGCAGTCCTGCCTCCCATCAGATCAGGCAGCCTAAATGGGTGCATTTAAGTGTGCTTTACATCTCCTTCTCTGTATTTAGTCACTGCTGATGTTCATGGATCAGGCCTCTACTGAGTACGTAAGATCTTATTACCATGTTCCAGTATTTAAACGGTAGCTACAAAGAAGATGGCAACTTATTTTCATAAGGAGTCACAAGGAAAAGATAAGGGGTAACATGTGCAAATTACTACTGGGGTGATTCTGGTTGGACACAAGGGGAAACAATCAGTCATGGGAATAATCTCCTCAGGGAAGTGGTAGACTCACCAACACTGGACACTTCACATCCAGCTGGACAGGGTGCTGGTCATGCTTTGCCTAGAAGGGTAGGACCAGATGATCCTTGAGGTCCCTTCCAACCTGGGATTCTACGATTCTGTGATTCATATAGGGTATAAAAATATACCTTATAAAGGATAGACTCATAGCAATCACATCGTGGCAACTGGAGATGACTTACCACTTCCGGTTGCCATGGTTTCCTACTGAAAACAAGGACTCCCAATGACAGGCATATGCCAACAGCTGGAAGATAACATAATGCTGTGGGGTTTTGTAGCTATAAGTACTGTGGACAGGCACTGGGGCTCACATGGTGACCTGCAGTGGAACCAGAGCAGTTACAATGCTTGGGAGCGGGGAGAGGGGGGACTGACAGTGCACAAACAGCTCAGAAAAGTGACAAATTTAAATGCAGGCTGCCACATACAGTGCTTCATCTGTCAGGTTTAAAATCAATCACTACATTTGTAGGACCTGATAATATCACTTGAGCTGGGCAACAGAAGTAGGGAAGGAGATGAGGTATTTTGCATGGAAGTTGACCATTAAACATTTCAGCTAAGCTGTTTGTGGGTTAGTTCAGCACTGCCACCTCCTCCTGCACCCCAAAGGTACCCCGACCATAAAACTTACTCCACCTTTTCCAAACAATAGACACTATTCATTGTCCTAGTGCCGATGTTCTAGGTATTTTCAAAGCTGACTTACTGTTACACACAGTATAAACTCCTTTCCACAGATAGAATATACTGAACAAACTAGGATGAAGGAAGGGCAGAGCATCCCAAAGACGTAGCAGACACCTATGATTACTGATGAGCTACAGTGGAAAGGAAGAGATGCCACGAACCAAGCCCATGTTCCAAGCAAATAAATCCAAATTATCCTTCTCACAGCTCATCTGTGTTCCAGCTGAACAAGATGAACCATCTTTACAGCTTTTGAAGTTCTGACATACTTTTTGTCTGTATTTTAAGTTCTCGGCATTTCCTTCTTCAAACTGCCTTTTTAAGTGTTTTTTACTACCAAGAATATTTAAGAGTTGATTTTTCTTAGGTGTTGGTCTGAAGCACTGCTCTGCACCTTGTTAAAATCTGCTGTTCCTGATATTTACTTCAGGGCTAGGGTGTGATTAGTTTTATTTAAAGAACATCCTGCTGTAAGAGCCTGGAACTTCACAAGCACTGGAATGAACCTAGCCCAAACACAGCAAACCTCAAAATAAAATCAAGAGGCACTTATTATTCGCACTTCAACAGCTGGGTGAGCTGGGTCCAGCAGCACACACTTTTGCATCCAGTGGTTAAGGAATTTTCACATCCCTGAAGGGCTGTGAATAAAACTGTACTTCCATGTGCAATCACTCATGCTTCCTCACCTGTTCCACGGCATGAGAGGAACTGGACAGCTCTTTGAAAAATTAGAAAAAAGGCAATCCTCTCAGTTCAGTTTACCCAATGCACAGTCAGCTCAGTGGCTTGGGAGCTCCAGGGGAAAGAGGGCCAGCAATGACCTAGACACCAGACTCTGCCAAAAGGGCTCTACCCTGGGTGGCACCATTCTCTCCAGCTCCCGGCTTAACAAGGACCACAGCCCACCTCCAAGGCAACATTAAAAACCTGAGCCTACTAATGCCATCTTTAAAGATATTTTGGCATTTCCCATGTTCCCCAGTCACCTTTCATCTCGATTTCTTCTGTAACTTCAGGCTGGTAAGATAATGAGGCAGAATTATGCTGTTAAACCTAAGAAATCCTACTACAGACACAGCAGATATGAAGATACATGCACTTCTAGTAATACATTAGCTGTGCTCCACTCCACAGCTGGCTGCATTTCAGCATTGATACAGAGCCAGTAAATCAGATTTGAACATGCATCAGTCTTCTTACATTAAAAATAATAATAAAAAATAAAATCTCTAAAAATTAGTAACGCATGGGGAGGAAAAAGCATGAAAAGGACAGTACGTCTCACCTCCCATCAAACCTGTGCTTCAGGAAGTCAAAGAGAGCTTTCTGCATCATGTCTGTCACCTTTGCAGAGGTGAGGAAGATTGAACAGGGAGGAATGACAGGGAGAAAAAGAAGTCAAATATAAGAAAAGAGGTAAGTAGAAGATAAGGATACTTCCAACAATCAATACCATTTATAGGCAGCAATCATTTACTTTTCATGCTCTTGGCAGCACGCTTTGTAATAAATACTTGCAAGTTTTCTGACTCATTCTCCAAAATACGGAACAGAGGACGTGAGAGCTGTCACTCATTCTGCTCTTGTCTTGACTTGCACTGAGGCATTAGGGCACACCTCACCACCTTCCATAGCAATACCATATCCCAGCAGGCTTCAGAACATGTCAGAAGCATATGGGACTATTCAGGTTGAACAGAACACTTGTTTTTTCCTACAGTAACATTATTAGAATGGACTTAAGACTCCAGATACAAGATTTATCATGTTGGATGACTGTTGTAATGGAAGAGAAAAACTACTCTCAGAGAAGCGTGGAAGCACAAAAAATGGATGCTCCTATTCCTGTATATGGTAAAGCATCCAAGAGGTGCTCAGCCCCAACAGCTGAGCCCCAACAGGTGTCTCTACTTTTCTGAATGAGCTCCTTGTCCTTTTCAGGACAACTCAGGCTGACACCTACTACCTGCCAGTTCTAGACAGGAACTTAATCAAAGTCCCCAGGTATTTGGCTGTTTAGTTCTCCTAGGTTATCTTTCAAAATGGTTCCTTCAGAATTTAGTCAGAAAAACAATAGTCAAAAGAATTTTTTCATATAGATTACAAAGATCAATGAGTTTGTTATGTAGACCACTATTTGTAATTGAAATTAATATCCTATGTTACCATTTATACACCTTTATATGTCCAAAATGTCACATTTAGTATTATTTTTGCAAACAAAGGCAGGACGGTATATTTATACAGGTGTGTATTAACAAAGAGCCTCTCTCCCCTCCAACGCTGAGAGTCCCTAGGCAAATTAACCCGTGGTGCAGCACCTTGGAAGTCAATGGTTGAAATTCACTCCTGTCAAGAAACATCATCATAAAATCAAAAGGTAGAGAGTAGAACAGTAGAAAGTACCTGCTTTGTTAAACTACACTTCCTATCATTCTCACAACAGAACTCTGCAAGAACACTGCATTATGCTAATAATGGCACCATGTTGTAATCTTCCAAAAAGAATCATTCCAGTATGTTTAATAATATCCTGTAAAGTAGTAACAACATTAATTAAGCTAAATTAAGTGTATCTTTGATTTTATGTTCATGTTTGCTTAGTTCCCAATTCAGCAAAACACTTAACAGATGGTTAAGTTCACTGAAATGCCCTGCAAAAAGCCTATGCTCATTTAGCACGTCTTAAATGCTCATTTAAATCTGCACCAGCCTTGAAAAATGGGTGTCCTGTTTATCTGTGTGTGTTATCATGCCCACTTTTATGCTGGAATAATTTAGAAGGGTTAAAGGTTTATTTATATGTATATTTCCATACACTAATAATCTTAAAAAGTCAAGAAAACCTGATAGTGAAAATCTTTAGTTCCCAATTCAGTTTCAAGTGCTGGAGAACAAAACTGAATACACACTGCAATAGTCCAGCCATTCGTCTGCCACCACTGAATTTCAGGGAAGATGGATGCAAAGCTTCTATAAGTGAAAAAAGAAGAACGATGAGGAAGCTTCTGCAAAATTTTTGCTAATTAAGTTCAAAGCATGTGCTAGTCTGACTAAAATCTGACACGTATACAGAAGTTTAGGAGTTAATTTGTCTCCTCCAACTTCTTCTTGTAGTGAAGACAAATTCTCCTTTTCTTACTTATCAAAATATCTGTACTGAAAATAATGGACGTGCCCTGTGCTTAAAGCAGTAAAAGTGCAAAGAGAGCACCATGTTCTTACGCTACTTATGTTACCTATCCATTAGCTGAGGTATCAAAAGTAACAGACATTGTTGTTAAAGCAGAAAAAAATTCAGCTGGTACCTCACCTAAATGGTGCAAAGTGCTGATTATGCTCTTGGTTCTTCTACAACATTTTGGACAATTATTTAAACTAAGACCACTTTAAATTATATTTAAATTATCATATCAAAACAGTCACACTGAACCACAATACTGTATGTACAAAGGAAGATCAGAGGTAAGAAAACAGCAATTTCAAGTACCTAGACTACATACCTCATAGCCTTTCAGTGATGGACCCACCAAAACAACAGGCCTCATTGATGGTACTACATCATATGGGGGAATGTGTTCTGTCTAGAAGAAGAAAACAACCCTTCAGATCATTAGTCAAAGAAGACCCAATCCTGGGAATTATGTTTTTGAATTATATAAAATAAAATGGAAGCAAAAGTACTACTTACCACTTTCTGTTTCTGTTTTGCTAAAAGACCAAATGAGAACTTGGTTAAAAAAACCACACTGTGCATAACAACCAAAACACTTGCAAACAAAATTCCTTTGTCAGGGTACTCTGGATTTCTCTCAGTGCACCTCCCTTTTGGTCAGCCCTCTTTAAACTGGACATTCATTCCATTATGGGGCACCTGCCACTTCTCCTGAGATTATTTCCCACTCCCTTAGCAACTGCCGGATGTCTAGATATAGATGTCTTTCTCCACCTCCACACACAAGCAATTTCTGTCAAATGCCTTAATAAGTCAGCAAAGAGGGGAAACCTGCATTTTTCATGCATGCTTTTTAAAATAGAAGTATTAGTAAGAGTTTCCTTAAATAAATTTGTCTTACCCGTGGAAGTAGGTGTGGCTCGAAATGTGCCAGAAACCATTTCTCCAAGACTTGAAGAAGAATTCCCACTCGATTTCCTATGGTATCAAAAAGAGACCCATTACACTAAGTGCCCAGAGATGCAAATGTGTGAGGTTTTAGGCAGCAGCTATGAGAAACTGCCCAATAAGAAATCAGACAGTAAAGGAGTCTTCACCCACATTCATGCTACAAAAAAAGCTTCCTCTGAAGTGAGGGGTGAAGAGCACCAGGCTTGGACATGGGGAACCAAAGTGTCTGAAATTAAGTAGACCTCCATGGCTGGAAGAGCTGCTGTATATGGGCTACGAGGGGAGAGTGGGTTCCACTACAGACTGAACAAAGCTTTTCTGTTATCTGCCCGTAGGCTGGGAAACACAGAAGCTCCAGTCACAGGCATCTGCTAAAGAGAATACAGAACTCTGCATGAGAGCCCCCACCCAACATTCCACTGTCTTGCTAGGTCTCTCCCTGCCAGCATAAATGACACATCTCTTGAGAGGTTTGGGATCTTAACTGGCGGTTTAAATAGCTTTTGTTGTGTAGCAATAGTGGCCCATTCACTGTACCTCCAAGCATCCAGCCAGGCAGTTCTGCCTCTGCATTTCCAAGCCCTTCCCTCCTCTCCCTGCATGATGCACCCAGCACAACTGCTTGTGCAGCAAACCCTAGCAAACTGGCGGGAAACTAATCTGGGGAGGGAAAAGATGTTCAGGTGAATAAGCTTTGTAATTCAGCTCACTGCACAAGCAGCTGAGCAGGACATGGGAGGAGGGAAGAAGAGCTCAGGACAGAAAGAAAAGGACTGTTTAAGCAGTCTGATCCCCACAGGTGACAGTTTCATGGTACAATCCATGTCTTTACATACAGACCAGCAAGAAGATACTACTTCCCATCAGTATTTTGCCTTTGCTTTCTTGCCGTATGCTCTCCAGAGCAGGAATTGTTTACTCCTGCACTTGACAAATTCTTTGTGAACATATACTGACTCTAGAAACCCTCTTTAATAGATTACTTTTCACTGCCTTACTCAGACAAAAGTAGAGTTCTTCTTAATCATGTAGAGCCTTAGTATCACAGCTGGTCACAGCTTTTAAAGAAACCTTAAGGTACAGAAACTGTATGACTATAACAAAGGTACTCAAAATAAATTACTTTATTGTTACACATTACTTCCAATTTTACGATACAAATCCAGGAGTGTTAGTGCAGGCTCCTTAAAATCTTAATAGATATCCTTTACAATATTTCTGCTCTCTTTCGTACTTGATTTTATTCCTAATATTCTCCATAGGTGAGATTAGAGAAAATCTTTGCAAGAATTGGTGATGCGGTGGAGTCATGCCCTTTTACACAAGCAGAGAATTTTTCTAATATGCTGTATCTGAAGCAACTATGCCAAATACTACTAGTGTCCATCTCTGAATTAGATAATCTTCTTTCTGTACATTGAGATACACTGGCTTCCTCTGAAACTATTTCAGATTTATAAAAGCAATTTGCAAAAAGCACAGTTAATGCTGTTCAGTCATTCTAAAAACATTTCCCTAGATGGTTTATACTTGAAATGATTCCTGACCTTGATTAAGTACATTAGTGTGCAAATTCCCTGACAGTACTATACAGGCTAAATTTATGCTCCTCTTACTGATATCTATTAGGTCCAGATTCAGTTGGCTCACATCTCTTTACAGTACTAAAGGTTTTGTTATCTGTATGAACATTTAAATTTGGTTTTCAATTAGTGAGAATAATACATTAGTAGTAATTTTAAAAAATCTAAAAAAAGAAAAAAAAAATTGTGTTTTCAACCAATAGGAAAGTGACTTGAGTGCCTTAACTGAGATTATGAGAAATCAGTTCTACTTCCTAGACCTGTGACCAAGCTTATGTTTTTCCAGGGACTTGTAATCTCCAGCTCTAGCAGCATGGAGACACAGAATGGTGAAGCTGGAACATGAAGAATAAAGCAGGTCAAATGACAAAGTTCATATTACAAAGTTTGAAAAGTCTGGTTTTGGCCAAAATGGAGAGGAAGATAAAACAGAAAGAAAAAACCCACAACCTTAAGAACACAACCAATGGGAAAAAAATATGGCAGCCTTTGAGCACCAACACTGACTTAAAGCCATGGGGATGTGAAACTCTAGCCCTTCAGAAATTTCTGTTGTTACCACTCATACTGTATTACTGATCTTTCCTAAAGTCAATACACACTTTTTTGTTGCTTCTCACTGTCAATATCTAACACATCTATTCTCTGCAAATATGTATTTTCATTTGGAATCCCAAGTCAAACATTCTTCCAAATGCAGTGCAATAAAAACAAATCAAGTGACCTTTGAAAATATTGTCTAGTGTCAGAAATGATTTTAAATTATTTTAAAAGGTTACAGCATTCTTACCCTCCATGGAAACGTCCTCTCTTCTGCTCCTGCTGAATGCGGATATTCTCCAGTCTAAGCGGGCTTGGAATAAAGCCAATCTCGCAGCCCTCTTTAACCAGCCTTCCTATCCACCAGTCATTATTATATTTCTGGAACATAGAAAGGTTACTGGCTTCAGTTTAAAATACTCCATGTCTGAAACTCTGTTTTCCACAATCCTTAACTCCATGCTGATCAATGAAAGCAGACACACACTGACACCTGAATGCTGCACAATCCATGTGAATCTGAGTTAGGTTAAAGGTATTTGGAAGGTTAATGTCTTCTTTGCAGCCAGACAGTGGAAAGCAGCGTTATCTGCAGCAGTACTGGCTTATCTCTTAACTGCCCCAACACATCCTGTGTGCTGTGACTTTTCCTCTAATGTCACCCACTAAGGTGCTGAGTGTGATGGTGATTTAATGAGACAAACCAATTTCTGGTGAAGAAAGGCCACCAAGCTATGTCACAGCAGCCATATAAACCAGTCAAAGTAACACCTTCAGATCACCACCAAAACAACAGTAAATGGTTCCTTGTAAAATGTAATGGTCTACACCAAAGATACCATCACCACCACTGCCAGTTTTTCTCCCTGCTTTCCATATATTTGTACGGATGTTATTACCATGTTATCCCTTTGCAAAAACCTCATCTGGTGGAAAAACTCTATAAAGACCATTCTAGAAACCAAAATAAAGATAAACTTATCCAAGACAACATAGAAAACTTACCAGCTTCAGCAGTGAACCAAACCCACACCTGGTTATGCTATGGTAGAGCTCTAACCAAAGTTGTGACACCTCTCTACAAATGAGGCTTTTATAGTGCCACTGCCTAGAAGTAGCTGAACTCTTTGAAGGCATACACTTTTAAATGTATGACAGCTGAAGAAAAATTCACCTTTATGAAGAAACTTAAATATATACCTGAAAGTATAAGATTTAATTTTATCATTAACCTTAGTAACACATGTTTTTCTGCATTACTGGAAGTCTGCCCTAACTTTAATGATGGAAAGATGAAAAGTGGTATCATAGTGGATGTCATAGTGGAAATGGATTTGTTGTAGCTGGCTGCCAGCAGAGCTTTTGAAGAAAAATATCTGAAAACCTTACGTTCTGCTGTGCTTCATTAGGCACCTCAGTGTTTAAAAGAACCATTAGCTTTCACAACTGACTGTCAAGTCATTAAGACCAGCATGAGTGTACCAATTTGTTGCATGCCTTAAGGAAAAAGTTATCACAGAAATATTTTAAAAGTGATCAGTTGTCTTGGTTCCATATTCTCAAGCCCTACTTCTTGCAGAAACACATAAATACCATATCCTAGCTGTCAAAGATACAGCAGTCTCTGAAACATATAGACCCTCAGCATCTTTGAAAAATAAATTAGCCCTTTAGTAACCTATACATACACACCAGTACTACATGTATAGCTAAGGGAAATGCAATCCTTATATCCTTATCTTGAAAACCTATCCTCTTTATATAGCTGTTATTTATGCAAGATGTTCCATTATTTTAGCACTTCAACTTTTTAAGTCTCTATTCTTCATGCTATTATGACCCCAATTCAGAAAATGTCAGTAAGCAAAACTTAATTTTAAGTATATAGCTTCTGCTGAAATTGACAAACTACTTGCATTCTTTAAAACAAATACTTCCATATGTAGCATTCTGCTGCTGTAAATCAGAGAAATCCATTGGATTTCTGTATCCATCTGTAAATCAGATGGATTTAAACCACTGCAAAAGCTGAGTTCCATGAGCACCACCCATTCTATTTTGGTTCTAAATGTACAGCTTGAATATGAGAATCTTTCTTCCATTAGCAGGTCATGAACCTCTGGGTGACGCCTCTAGACATGACATCAGAATCAGTGTTATGCTGAGAGTATCTGAACAATACAAATGATAACAATGCAGCAAGGAACACAGGGCTATTTGTGTTAGGTCATTACCTCCCATATGTTATTCTTCGCATTCAGTATGTGGGAGGACTACAGCTTGTTCCTATCCGTTGCCATGCCCATGATTTCTTCTGCATTGTCAATTATTGTTGCCACTTCATCTTTCAGTAAGCACATAATATATATCTTGTAGGAGACAGATGAGACATACAGGACACATTCTCAATATAGCAACTCATTGGTTACTGCTGCTGTTACATCCTGTCAACAGAGTGACCTTACTTCTTACCTAGTTTAGCATTATTCTAAAATCTGGAATCATGCGTGTTCTGGTTCAAGCAAGCCTGCCAGATCATTGAAAAACAATCTCTGCAAAGCCTTTTTCCATGCAGCTAGACTCCAGCATGGGGAGTTTTCCTGAAATTCCTGACACCCTACTGAGTTACAGCCACAGCTTCAGGCAAGCTGAAGGTTTCAGTATTAACAAAGAAACTGTGCTAAACCCTTAGCAGAGCTGACAAATACCAGTAAGCCATATGGCTTACAGTTTAGTGGCAATGAGATCCTGGCTATTTAGATCTTGGGAGAAAACTCACAGAATGCCAAGACACGGACTTTCAACACTTCTCTGGAAAAATGTTCAGGGCAGCATGGCAGGAGCTTAGTACATTAAATTCAGTCACTGGGCTGAAAATAAAGGTAGCTACATCCTAGGTAAATCAAGACCAAACACTAGTTTTAATGGTGATGAACAGAATTACATGAACACTGGGCAATGGAGACTAGAAAGACAGTATTTAGGCAGGGTACATTTCTGGTGTGAGTGGAAAAACATTGGGGAAGGTAGCTGAGAATGTGATCTGAGTGCTGTAATGGATGCAGCTGACTGCATTCAACTTTGAGTGCTAGCAAAGGACCTTTTCCTGATGGGAAGCAGATTATAAATAAAGTGGTGTACATCAAGGGAGTTCAGGTGTGGTGCTAGGCAGAAGAGAACACTTTCTTGGGGAACAAACAGGAGGGGCTATTCTGCATGCAGCAATAGGCAGGTTCAGATTCAGAACTCCAGTTCACCAGCAGGGGTTTAAGCATCATTCCACACAAATAGAAACATGCCAAAGAAACAAACAAAAAAATCCAAATCAAATTTCCATCTGTTTACAGCAAACTGAGAAAATGGAACTGTCCCTCCTGTGTCTTTCTCAGGAAGAAAGAATTTAAAGCAACCCCCCTGTTCTATCACCAATATCTGCCTCTAGAGGTGCAGAAGCAGGTGTTTTCCTCCTAAATGTCCTCAGTCTAAGGGATATCAGTACTCTGAAGTGATGACTGACACATATTCAAAGAAAGAGAGAAATGAGTACTGAACACCCTAAAACAAACCCAGAATGCAGGGATGAAAAATGTTCTTGCAAGCTGAAAGCCTGTGTACAAACCTACAAAACAACAGGGATTTATGCAAGTTCAGAGGCCTCGCTTCAGGTTAAGAGTTGCAGAAAATATGCTCAACATGAAATAAAATGTATTTTTCTCTACCAAGGCCATACTCAGGGTTTATTTATGCCCATTCCTTTTTCCTTACTTTTCTATCTGTCCTCTTCAATATTTTGTTTTCTTACTGTATTATTCTATGTCTTAGTTCCTCCTATACAAGCCCATCCCATGCTTTATGAAGGCCTGGTGTAACCTGGTGCTACTCCACTTTCTGATCAATAGAATCCCTTTCCATTATGTAATTTATGATCCATCAAAATCTTCATTTGATGAAAAGAATCTGAATCTACACTGTTGAAGGATGTTTAAAATATAACAAGATGTTACCTCCTTCCTGTGACATGAAAATCCAACAAGTCAGTAACATCAAGCATTTAAAACATGCAAGATAACCACACCAGGGTGCTGGAACTCCAAAAAGGCTGAAGCACTACCACCACATCATTGCTAATCACACAGATGTGCTGTGCTCTCCTGCCTCCACTCAGCTCTTGACTCTCTTATTAATCTGGTATGGTGGTATGGTTCAGCTCCAACTGTTTAAATTGTAGTACAGTACTTGACATGGAAAAAGATTCCCTTTCACATTCCCTTTTACTAGTTCTTGGGTTTACCTCTTTAATGTGTAGGAAGTCCTTGGCATCAAAAGAGATGGCAGTGCTTGGGACAGGAACATCTTCATCCAGAGCTCCACAGTAACTCACGTTAGTCTTAACAGCAAATGCTACTGGTTTGGACTACAAATAGAAACAGACATCACAAACAGTGGAAACTTCTGAATCAAGAATTTTATCAAATCACCAAAAACCTGGCAAAGGACACTTCCCAAATACATCAAAATTCAGACCTAATAATTTCACAAAAGCCAGCAGAGTTCAGCTTGAGAATATTTACACTGTATATCCCAAATATCTTGTCTGCAGACAACCTGACTCAGTTGCCGAACTATTTCCAAAGGCAGCACCTCATTATAAACCAACAGTGTGAATTTTAACACTGGGCAAAAGATAAATGCCATGCAACTTAGCTATTACTGAAGGTGAAAAGAACATACCTTTGCCCTTTCAAGTTGTATAGCTGCTTGCTGTTCTCTTTCTTGGCGGACTGCTTCCCTATCTTCTTCCAAAGAGACATCAGAGTCTGAGGGTCTGCTTGTGTAGGAATCTGCTGAGCCCTGAAATTAAATTCATGTCACTAAGAAAACATATGTTAGAAATGGGAACCCTGTCCCCAATCAGATTCATATATAATACTTTTAAAGTATTTACTTCATTTACTTGAGTGGGTTTTACAGAAAAAAAAAGAAACCTGCAGAACCTAGCAGAGAAATAACCTGGCTTTACTGATCAGGTGCACTAAGCCAAAGACAAAAATCTCTAGGAAAACTTCTTTCAAAGCACTTCTTCACTTTCTTACTGACACAGTGAAATACAGCTCAGTTGCAGGCACTGTCCAGAAATCTTTAGACTATTTAAATCCTGTTTCACAACTGCAGATTGAAGATTGTCAAGGGCCGGGTCACATCAAATATAATTAAGGTGTTACAAAGCTTGGTTAGAATCACTCCTCCCTTTAGATACAGTGCCATTGTGTCTGTACTCCCTTCCCTGCCGTGGCTGCCACTCGCTTTGTTCTGTGCTTCAAGAGGGAAAAAGTGGCAAAAGTTGCATTATTAAAAGCAACTCAACAGGGCCTCAGAAGAACTATAGAGTGATCTAAAATGAAAACAATACATCCAAGCAGCAGCAGAATGTAACCACCTATAAAGGAGGAAATAAGGTACTGCCACAGTTAAGATTTTTTTTTTTGTCTGGGATATTACGCAGGATGCCTGGCAACATCTGAAGTATGCAGTGGCTCCTCTCTTCTTTTTATAAACCAACCTAACTTCAGCATCCTACAAAGCCAATATTTATGTTTGTGTGGGGACAAGTGAAACAGATAAGGTAAAGGGAATGTTTACTCATGATGCATCTGAAATACCAATCCTCTTCTCCAAAACCGCAGACACCCAGAGCCTAGCAAGACTAAGACCTCAACCTAGATTTCAAGGAGCACCACTGATGGAGGTGTGTATGACTGGGCATTCATACAAAAGGTGAAGTAAATTTTCACTATAGAAGAAAATTCCTACAAAGACCTCAAAATCCTGAAGTCCAGGTCTAATTTTCCACTCCAGGTTAATACTGAATGGGCAATCTGTGTCCATTATTGAGCCATTTTCAAAGCAAATGGAATTTTTGCTGTATTAATTAAAATGCCTGGCTAGTGATCGATGACCTTTGCTTAAGCCAGACTCCAGCCTTGCAGAATCCTGTTCCGTTCAAGACATCATCTGACTAATTAATGCTTGGGTTGTTAGTCTGCTCCCAGCACAGGAGAGGTCTGCGTTTCACCTTCCCGATCCCAGTGCTCTGCACTGACTGCAGGCGATGTTCAGCAATCACACACTCCCCAGGTTCCACATTCCAGCTCCTAGCTGGGCTGGTAATGGCTGCTAGAAAAGTCGGTATACAAAGAGCTGCATACAGTTTGAAAAGCAGCCTAACTTTTCAACCTACATATTTTGCATGTCTTAAAAACTACACAAAACCACCATCATTAGAGCTTCAAAAGAATCAGGATAATGCAGAGCTGCAAAAGGATCCAGCCCCAGGACTGTACACAGTAGGAAGAATATACGGCAATGTCTGACCACTGCTAAGAGACACTATTTCTGGTTTTAAATAAGGGAAAGAAAGAATGCACTGGACTATGTATACTGTGTTGTATTATATAACCAGTGTAACAATTTCTAAGTCACCACATTCCTAGAAAAAAAAATGAAGGCATAAAAATAATAAAACATTATTTTTTATATTACTACCTAGACATAATAAATATGTCCTATATGTTTATATCTCTAGAGAGCTCCAAAATCTGTTACACTATACATGTTAGTGTGAGGTGTCCCTGCCCATGGCAGGGGGGTTGGAACTAGATGATCTTAAGGTCCTTTCCAACCCTAACTATTCTATGATTCTATGTTCCAAGACCATGTTCCATTTTAAAGCATTATGTATTTCAAACTTTTTTTTTCCTTATATCCTGCAGCACAGGGACACATATTCTAAGTAATAGAATCATAAAATCATAGAACAGTTAGGGTTGGAAAGGACCTTAAGATCATCTAGTTCCAACCCCCTGCCATGTGCAGGTACATCTTACACTAAACCATGCCACCCGAGGCTCTGTCCAACCTGGCCTTGAACACTGCCAGGGATGGAGCATTCACAGCTTCCTTGGGCAACCCATTGCAGTGCCTCACCACCCTTACAGTAAAGAATTTCCTCCTTATATCCAATCTAAACTTCCCCTGTTTAAGTTTGAACCCATTACCCCTTGTCCTGTCACTACAGTCCCTAGTGAAGAGTCCCTCTCCAGCATCCTTGTAGGTTCCCTCCAGATACTGGAAGGCTGCTATGAGGTCTCCACGCGGCCTTCTCTTCTCCAGGCTGAACAGACCCAACTTTCTCAGCCGATCTTCATACGGGAGGTGCTCCAGTCCCCTGATCATTCTCGTGGCCCTCAAGTAAAAAAAACCAGCCCTGCACCAGCTACTAAGAAGGAGAAAAAACGACTGCTGAACCCAGGACACATGGTTAAACTCTATGAGGTTGGCATCAGCCCACCTTACAAATGTGTCAAGGTCCCTCTGGATGGCATTCCTTCCCTCCAGCGTATCAACCGAACCACACAGCTTGGTGTCATCGGCAAACTTGCTGAGGGCGCACTCAATCCCACTGTCTGTGTCAGCCACAAAGATGCTGAACAAGACCGGTCCCAACACCGATCCCTGAGGGACACCACTCGTGACTGGTCTCCAGCTGGACATTGAGCCATTGACCACAACTTTTTGCATGCAGCCATCCAGCCAGTTCTTAATCCACCTAGTGGTCCACCTATCAAATTGATGTCTCTCCAATTTAGAGACACAGATGTTGTGTGGGACAGTGTCAAATGCTTTGCACAAGTCCAGGTAGATGACATCAGCTGCTCTACCCCTGTCCATAAGTTCCGCAGCCCCATCATAGAAGGCCACCAAATGAAGCCATGCTGGCTGTCACCAAGCACCTTGTTGTTTTTCATATGCCTTAGCATGCCTTCCAGGAGAATCTGCTCCAAGATTTTGCCAGGCACAGAGGTGAGACTGACTGGTCTGTAATTGCCTGGCTCATCCATTTTCTCCTTCTTGAAAATGGGGGTTATATTTCCCTTTTTCCAGTCATCGGGAACTTCACCTGACTGCCATGATTTCTCAAATATGACGGCCAGCAGCTTAGCAACTTCATTTGCCAGCTCCTTCAGGACCCACGGATGGATTTCATCAGGTCCCATGGAGTTGTGCACATTCAGGTTCCTAAGATGGTCTCGAACCAGATCCTCTCCTACAGTGGGCCCAAGGTCTTCATTCTCACAGTCCTTGCGTCTGCCTTCCAAGACTTGGGTGGTGGGGTCAGAGCCTTTGCTAGAGAAGACCAAGGCAAAGAAGTCATTCAGAACCTCAGCCTTCTCCAAATCCAGGGCAGCCAGTTCTCCTGATAGCTTCCATAGGGGGCCTACTTTGTCCCTAGTCTTTCTTTTACTTGTTACGTACCTATAGAATCCCTTCCTGTTATCCTTAACATCCTTAGTGAAGTTGGCCTTAGCTTTCGTAACCTGGTCCCTAGCTTCCTGGACAACATCCCTCTATTCTTCCCAGGCTGCCTGTCCTTGCTTCCACCTTTTATAAGCCTCTTTTTTTCCCCTCAAAGTTTTCTCAGCAGCTCCTTATCCATCCAAGGAGGTCTCCTGGCCCCCCTGCTGCATTTCCTTCTAGTTGGGATGCAACACTCCTGAGCTTGCAGTAGGTGATCCTTGAATATCACCCAACAGTCTTGAGCCCCCCTGCCCTCTAAGGCTATATCCCATGGAACCTTACTGAGCAGGTTCCTCAAGAGGCCAAAGTCTGCTCTCTTGAAGTCCAGGGCAGTGAGCTTGCTGCACGCTCTTCTCACTGTCCTGAGGATCTTGAATTCGACTATCTCATGATCACTATAACCAAGGCTGCCCTGGAATGTCACTTTTCCAACCAGCCCTTCCCTGTTGGTGATCACGAGGTCAAGCATGGCACCTCTCCTTGTCGGCTCCTCTATTACCTGCAAAAGGTAATTGTCTTCCACACAATCGAGGAACCTCCTGGATTGCTTGTGCTGGGCCATACCGTCATTCCAACAGATATCAGGGTGGTTGAAGTCCCACATGAGGACAACGGCCTGCGAGCGTGAGGCTGCTCCTATCTGCCTATAGAGTGCTTCATCCGCAGATTCCTCTTGATCAGGCGGTCTGTAACAGATCCCCCCAGTAATGTCTGCCATAGCTATTTTCCCTTTAACCCTGACCCACAAACTCTCTGTTGACTGCTCACCTGTCCCCAGACAGAGTTCCATACACTCCAGCCTATCCCTAACATAAAAGGGCAGCTCCCCCTCTGTGCCTGCCAGGCCTGTCTTTTCTAAAGAGTCTGTAACCTTCCATTCCAACACTCCAGTCATAGGAGCCATCCCACCATGTTTCTGTGATGCCTATTACATCATACCCCCTTAGATGTGCACACATCTCTAATTCCTCGTTTGTTCCTCATGCTATGGGCATTTGTATAGAGGCATCTGAGCCGAGCTCCAAATGAAGCCGGCTCATTGGCTGGAGCAGCTGGAATATCTCTACATTGTTCTGAGCATTTATTATAGGTGCTGGCAACTGACTGGGTGTGTTGGGATGGAATGATACCCCCACCCCCAACACATCTAGTTTAAAGCATCCTTGACCAGTCTGGCAAGCCTCCTACCAAAACTGCTCCGTTAGACCAGCTCCCACCAGCCCCGCCAGCCCCCAGTAGACCTGGCCTCCTAAACCGGGTCCTGTGTTCTAAATACCCAAACCCCTGACTATGGCACCACTGTTCTAACCATTTATTAGCCTGGCCAATCCTCCTAGCCTTTTTAAGGTCCTCCCCTTTATTCTGGAGAATTGACAAAAAGACAGTCTGAGCTCCAGAGCCCTTAACAACCTCTCCCAGGGCTCTACAGTCCTTCTTTATGTTCTCCAGGCTACTGCTATCTATATCCCTAGCACCCACATGTAGCACTAGAAGTG